CCATTTTCGATTTTTCTTCTGGAAAAGTAATAGAGGATGCCATTAAAGCAGGGTTAGATCCCAAAAAATATAAAGGGGATCCGAACAACATTACGTTACTGAAGGATGTATACACAAAGATCAAGCAATATGTGCCTGAAAAGTTCACGGAAATATCGGACTACTGTCTCAAATTATTGTCTACGATAGAGAAATATTGTGTGAGTTTTTATGACCCAGAAAAAGACGAATACTTGGAGACAGCAGCTCACTACCAACAACAGATTAACACTTGGAAAAGTACAATAAGGAATAATCTAGAAAATGTTAAAAAGCTACAGAAAGATTTCCATGAAAGAATCATTCATTACACGATGTTCACCACACCGGTTATCACATTTTGTAAGAAAAACGAATGTGAACAGGTTCCATTTCTTTTCCTTTTTGCAGACGCGTGTACAAACATTCGTGCTGCCATGGCCATTATGACGACATGGCTGCAAGCAGACGAAAACTATCCCATCTTTTTACGCAATGATATTGATGACATGGAACGAAATAAGGAGGATAAGATTCGGTGCATGCGTGACGCCAAGACACGTTTTCATTCTGTTACATACAAACTCAATCATGCTGAAATCGAACTTGATGCCGCGAAGGCGGAAATCGAAGGATGGAAAGAAAAGGAAGAGGCTTTGCGGGTTGAAAAGGACTACCTTTTTAATCTGCAAAGTGAGTTGCAACAAGAATGTGACTTTAAGGAGTTTCGACGCGACGAACTTGCGAAAAACAAAGCGGACTTTAGCCCAGATGACTATAACGAAACGTACGACATGCTAACGGAAGAAATTCGTTACGTTCGAGATCGGATGCCTCTTGTGAAGCGTCAGCTAACAGCAGCGGAGCACAAACTGGAGTGGATGGCTGATAAAAGACATGCATACAGGAAGATTGAAAAAGAAGTGAAGCAGTTTAAACTGGAGCTCAAGCAAGCAAAGGTTGAACGTCAACAAAGAGAGAACGAATTTTCGGAACTAGAAAATGCCCTTGAAGTGGCGAGACGAATTCATCGCTTCAAGACAAGCACGGACGCAGCCGAAAAGATATATTTCTGTCTTCCCATGGGACCAAAGCAGTCACAACATCTGGGATCACTAGACGGTAAATATACATATCATAGCAAAACAGAATACATGTAATTGCCATTGGTTCTCTCAAAATGCACTGGGGGGGTTCGAATATTTAGATTCAAAACTCTACCTCACAGGAACTATGAGGTCAACTTTTCTATCGGAAATATTTGACAATCGACCATGTACATATAGAGACTGGTAACGTGAAAAATTACTAGTAATTAGGCCTATATATTAAGTATATTCTATATTCACAAAAGTCTCTATGTCAGATGCCTAGGTTTATGGCGAAGGATTCCTTGGCTCGCCTGAGTATCTTTAATGAATATTATTTCTGTTATATTTTAGATAAAATGACCAAAGCCATTGGAGTGGTATGCCGTGAAATAGATCAGGACTGGATGCTTCTGTACAGGACGTTGCCATTCTATCCAAAACGAGGTTCTGAAACGATAGAAAAGGACATCGCGTCTGTGAACGTGGAAAGCGCGAGGGGGCCAAAACAAGGGAGAGCAATGGAGGCCCTGACGAGATGGCGACGTCATCACACACGTGCTAAACTTGATGACCTACTTGAGGCTCTCAAAAAAATCAGACGACACGATATTCTGACGGAAATTGACAAAGTTTTGAATCCGCCCAAACTGATAGACGAAGAAGAGCAAGAGATATATGTGCCACCTAGTGTCGCTCCAGAGTTAGTTCCCTTTTACAAAGAACTTGAAAGATACGATCAACTGCGAAAGGCTCATAAAAATAGAAGGAAATCTCTACTTGCTCAAAACAAAAATGCACAGAAACAAAAGACATGATATTTTTTCTTTGAAAGAAAACGAATGTTGTGTTTCAAACATGACAGGATAAAATGTTTTATGTGCATTATTTAGGCAGTTAAGTTACATATTCTTTATTACTGTTACATGATTAAATCCACTCTGGAAGTTTTATTTCTTTTTTATTCTATAAGGAACTCTGATTGAAACAAGGAGTAAAATGGTAGAACTTTCTACTATTAAAATTATGGTAAACACATCAATGGGCCATTGAATCAATATAAAAAGTGCCATCTTCTTTGATTATGTGCTGAATATTGTTATGATTTAGGAAGCAGGACAAGGTATTTAAATACTTTCCTTTTTTCAGAAAAAAAGACAAATTCTATTTGGAAATGCAGAAATGTAAATATTTGACTGCAATAAAAAGTCTGCACCAAATTCCCAAATAAGCAAATAGGGCAGTTATTTATGTGACTCAAAGTATACATGTCACTGACAATAAAAAATGGAAAAAGAGAAATTGCAGTTCTCGGAAATCTGGCAGCCATAAATTAAATGTCAAATAGGATCAGAACCAGTGAAGATCTGATCTATTCTGCTATAAAATTGTCAACTAGAAGTCTATGCAGAGACTGTAGCTCCACTAGTATGAACTTGAAATTACCTTTTTGTTTAAATAAAACTACTCTTAAACTTTCAAGATGTTTTTTTCATTCAAGGAAAGAGAATATCCCATCTTATTCAAATACAAACATTTCTTATGCATTTAAATATCATTTCCAAATCTTATAATATACCTGGATCTGCATTTTAGCAACAGATTTTCAGGAACCAGAAGTCTCTGTCGAGACTGTAGCTATACTGGTTAGTACTAATAACATTTTAGGAAGAGAAAAGTAGCAGTTGGGACTTGAAACTATACAACTTCAGAGCAATAAATAGAATACTGATCCTTGATTAATTCCCTTTAAATTTTGTGGCAGAATTGCAATAAGAATACAAATGTTGGAGTAGCTTTTAATAACATTTTTCATTTTCAATTTTAGTTACCATGGCAACATCATTCAATAAATACAAATAATCAATGAAGACAATTATTTATCTCAGTGTAGTCAACTTGCATGCAACATTATATCATAATCAGAGTGAAACTGTTTTAGGAGATGCATTTTGAAAGTTTTCACAGAAATTTCTATTTTTTGTAATCATGGGAACATCATCGAAAGCAAAAAACCATTATAAAGAATTATGTATCTTAGCATAGTCTACTTATGTGCCAAGTTATATTAATGAATCAGACTAAAACTGTAGGAGGAGTAGCATTTTGAAAGCATTTTTCACAGAAATTTCTATTTTCAGTAACCACGGCATCAACATTCATCAAAACCAATATTCAGAATTGTGTATCTTAGTGTAGTCTACTTGTGTGCCAAGTTATATTGAAATCCGACCAAACTGTAGGAGAAGTAGCATTTTGAAAGCATTTCACAGAAATTTCTATATTTAATAACCATGGCAACACTATGTATCTTAGTGTAGTCTACTTGTGTGCTAAGTTATATTGAAATCAGACCAAAACTGTAGGAGGAGTAGCATTTTGAAAAACTGTTTACACACAGACAGATGGACACCTTACTATATCATAAGCTCTTCTGGTCTCTAACCCACTCTTGCAAAAATTTACCAAAGATTTATAACCTTAGTAATAACAGTTGGTGCTGGGGCAACAAATGTATTCATGGTGAAAAGACAATGACATGGATATAAATATTTTAAACATTTGACTTTGACCTTGAGTTTGACCCACATAAAAAAAAGTAACTTTTGAACAGAAAGTACTAGGGCCTTCAAGTTTCACAGTTGTAATCCTTGTGGCAAGACCTTTTTCAAGATTCCACAATTTTGACCTTGACCTTATTTTTGAAAATGGCCATAACTTTTGATCATTTGGTGCCAGGGGTTAAATATTTATTAAAAAAAATGTGTATTTCTTATGACAAGACCTTCTGCTTGGTGCTTCTACTTTGACCTTAAAGTTTGACCTACATTAAACAAAAAGCCTTGCTCACAATATATGACTGGTGTACTTCTTGTGTCAAGACCTTTCTTAGGCTTTAAACAGCTTTGACCTCATGACCTTGGAATTTAATCCACTTTTGCAAAAAATTACCAAACTTTAACCATACATTTATAACTTTTGAACAGTTGAAGATAGGGCTTTGGTCCTCCTGGCATGCATTTGAACTCCACAAGACTTTCCCTTCAGTATAAATATTTTTGACCTTCTGATCAAAGAAATTGATCCATTTTCAAAAAAAATTTATCACAGCCACAACTTTTGAAATAAAGGCTTTCATATCTCACAAGTTAAATCTTGCGACAAGACCTTCCTTTATGTACCAACAACTTTACCCTTTTGACTCAAATTACCCATAGATATGTTGAAGAGACTTGAAAGTCCCAACCACTTGTTTTTTAAGCATTTTAGCTTCAATATCTAGAATTCTTTGATATCTTGAAGTTTTTTTTCAGCCCAATCTAGTTCAAGATAATGAGGTTCTACTATAATATATTTACCATATATGCAGTTTTTAAAATGAAATAAACATGCTGTAGCATGTACGAGTAGCTAGGCATTTAATGTCAAAAATTGCTGATTGACATGAATATTTGGCATACCCTCTGAACCATTGGGTTCCCATGACATCCCATGCACTTGAGAAATAGATTTTTAAAGGGTACCCCCAGGGGGATTTTAACAATTTAATATCTACAACCCAAGGATGCTTCCACATAGCTTTCCTGGCCCATGGTTCTTGAGAAATCGTTTTTAAATTTGTTCTATATATTTCTATGTAAAACTTGGGTTGGGCATCAACCAGCTTTCCTGGCCCAGGACAACATGGGGAAGGTCATGTGAAGAGGAAATCAGACAATGTGGACATAGCTGGGAACAATGGAAAAAGGCTGCTCAAAACAGAGTGCTGTAGAGGCTTTCAGCTCGGGTGAGCTAAAAAGCAGAGTGCGATGGAGGACTGTTGTTGAGGCCCTTTGTTCCACCAGGAACCAAAAGGAACCATGATAATGTTCTAAGAAATTGGAAAAGTAAACATTGATTTTTCTGTTTTATTGACTGAAATGACCTCAGCACAAAACACACAAAGTTAGACAGAAGACAAGAGACTTGAAGTTCAACTTTCATAAAGTTTACATAATCGTGTACAAGAGTTGCCCCCCTTTAACATCACTTTTTTTTTAAAACATGACATATTCTGTTACTAACATTCATATTTCACTAACAGTCTACATAATATAGCAGATTAATTAGTAACTAACTAGAATGTTTGCTAATGATGCACATTTTGATATAATTACTAGTTCACTTGTTTCAAAATATTCTTCAAAACTGTAATGGATGTTTCAGTAACAAAAGAATAATAATCATAACAATGACCCGATGATAAATTGATATCTGTGAAAGGACATTAAATTTACGACAGAATTTTGATAATCTGAATGAAGCTGAAAAACACACTGCACTGAAACAGGGAAACATAATTCTGTAAACATGAAGAAAATGGTTTGTTCTCTAACTTTAACTAATCTAATCAATGTCATATTTGATACAGGGTTAATGTATATTAATTCAAAGAAGGGGGTGCATGGAAGGATGTTTCCTTTAAAATATTAATTTTGTTCTTATATTGCACTCTTGTATATTGCATGATTTCAAATATTAGCATCTATAAACTTGAAATGGGGGCTTTTCTGAAAGCATTGAGGGGTGCACTAAACCTGCTACAACAACTTAAAAATATCACAGTCAGCATTTGGAATAAAATCTTTTGCAGTCATCTTTATGCTGCACATTGTTCACACACTTTTGTTTTGTTAACAACCTAAAAACAAGCAATGACCTAAATAACAATGCGTAAAGCACCCAGCTACAAAGTGAAGCATGTCTCTACTATGTAGGCGAATTTAAAGCTATACTCCTAAGGATCAACATTTACCTTCATACAATGTACAAAGTTAAATACACAATGGGACTAGAACACAGTATTAATATCTGACAAATCCTTAGTATAGCTCCTGGAACAATAAATACTAAAACATGAATAAATGACAAATAACATATAACCTCTCATATGTTGAACACCACGTAGTAATGGTACATGTATATGGTTGTTTTACAGTTTACAGAACCCTCGAGTTAAGGTGAAGAAATAGTACAGTCACTGCTAAACAAATGACAAATATTTCGATCAAAAACCGAGATTCCAGGAATATTGATGGTCAAATCTTGTTTTGTGAAACTGCATCTGCAGCTTGCTGGGCCCGCAATATATTGTAGCATGCTTGGCATACACGAACAGGCTTCAAGATACGAAGGCGACGAATTTCTGTTTCATATCGACTGCATCTAAAAATTAAGTAAAAGAGTATAGTACATGAAATGCTGCAATATAAACACATGTATGTTTTCAATGATAAAAAAAACTTGCATATCAAGTCATTAATGGATTTACATATAAAATGAACAAAGACACACTTTAAATAATAATCTTAAAACTGAACAATTCCCTTTCTCTAATTTTCAGTACATGCATTTCATACATGTATCTGTTTTAAAAGAATACATAATCAATCAAAGCTGCAAGTAAAAGTGTACCAAAGAATACAAAACTGTACTAACTTGCTTGAAAAAGAAAACAAGCATTGTAATACAAACCTTGAACAGAACACCTTGCCACAGTTACGACAGTGATGCTTGCGTTCTGAGAAAGAGAATCTGACGGAACAGGAATGACACTTCTCAACCCCATCATCCTTTATCCAGTGATCCGCGACCACTCGACCTGGCTGATCTGTCACGGTCCAGCTGTAAACACGACCTTTGTCCTCTCCAACATACACGGTACGGTGATCCCTAGAGAATACAATTGAAAATATGGAATAGTCTTCACATCTTCATAATTTGAAGTCAGTCTTAGGAATGTTCAATGAAGGTTTTTGGTCTATACATTTACCGTTAATTAAAAGATCAGAATCTCTGTTAAGATTGCTTAAAGAAATACTCCCCAATGAAAAAATGATTTAACATACATGTATGTGAGTTCATAAGTATAATACAATCTTTTACACTCCTTACTTAGACACGGCTATTGCTGTGATGACAGCAGGTTCCTTGTTGTCATCTCTTTCAAAAGCAGTGTGCATGGTCAGTTTACTTCTAAACATCAGCTGTCTCTGCCATTTAAAGCCTAAAAACACACAGAATTACACTAAATTTTTAACACTTTATTATGTAAACAAAAAAAAATCTTAACTAATATGTATAATTTTGTATGGGAACATTCTCAAGACCCTTTTAACTATTTTTCCAACTCTGATAAGGAATAGAGTGGCAAAAAATCTGATTTCAGTAACAATTTTTGACAAGAAAATCATGCGAAAACTTTAACTGTTTACTTTGAAAGAAGAAAATAAAGGAAAAACCTTCTCTGAGGTAATTTCTAGGATTTCCTTTGTATTTCCTCAACAAGTCCTCCATTGTTTTTGGTGTTCCTTGCACTTCAGAGTCTGATATCACCTCAAAGTCCGTTGACATGGACTTGACCATGATGTCTGTTTCTTTCAGGGAGTCCTTGAAGTCCGGCTGGCTCTGACTGCGATCAGTCAATCCTCCTTTCACCAGGTCCGTCTGTGAGGAATTACTCAGGTACTCCTCTGCCTCGAGGGCCGTCTCTAGGGATGGATCTGAGGACTTGACAGACAGTCGGTCCTCACTGTCTACACTGACTACGTCCTCATTCTGAGGAGTCACATTACTGACACTGCTGACTACACTGTCCTCATGCTCCAACATAGCAGCATGTGCTGCAGCATGTAAACCCATGTGACTCTCACTATCCACTGAGGAGCCTAACTCTATTTCTTTATTTTCCATCTTCAGATCTTTGAGAGCTTTCAATCGGTCTGCAGCTGACTGAATGTCTTTGAAAGGATCATGTTGATTGGGTGATTTTTGTTTATTTTCAGCTGGGCTTTTCTCTTCAACTTTGAGATTCTTTTTCTCCTCTTTTGGCACTTGAACATATTCTACCGACCACATCTAGAATTTATTGAACTCATTCACAAATGATTCAAACATGATTCTTTCATACAACAAAGAATATACTGTATACAGGGTTATTTTCGCCCCGTGTTATTTTCACCCTTTTACACTTGCTTAAAAATTTGCCCTGTTTTAAATTCGCCCAAACCCAGTTCTGTTTAAAAATTTATACTGTGTTCTTTGAATTCGCCTAGTTTTAAATTCACCCTCTTGTGACAAGGGCAAAAGGGGCGAAAATAAAACGGGGGCAAAAATTTCCCTGTATACAGTAATACAATCAAGAATGAAAAATACAGTATTGTACACATAGAAAAGATTTCATATTTCTTTTCTAAAACATGCTGCTTTGATATCATAAAAAAAAACTTGTTAAATTGAATATTTTTTTTTCTAAAAGTATCAGATGTAATGTGAGAGAAATTTGCAAAGCAAAAAAAACCCCCACTTTTTACATACCCTGACTACACCATCCTTACTTCCTGTTAAAATGACATTTTTGCTGTCCCACTCATACATCTGAAATCAGATTTTCTTACAATTATAGAAAGAAACTTTACTTTAAATGAGCTAATTTTTAAAAAATAAATAGAGAGAAATGCAACAACAAAAAATTCTTTCTGGTGTAAGCATACCTGTGACATAGCCAGACACAGGATCTGTTGGTTGTTCTGTGGAGGAGCGGTGTTGACACAGGCTATCTCCTCCCCATTAATGGACCACAAATACAGGTAGGTACCAGAGCAGGAAGCTATGTCCCCCTTTAAAAGAGAAAAAATAAGGATTTGGATAAAATTCAACAAATCTCAAAATATTAACTAGAGAGAATAAAGACATAAAGGGGTGGTGGGTTAACTGCCAGAAAGTTTGAACTTGGTCATAATCATGGGTACATGTCATGCGAAATTCTTATGTGATAATTAACCTTTGTCAAATGTAAGCTTTCAATGTTTCCATTTAAAAATTTTATGCACATGCAGTTTATACTTTCAACTGGAATATCTGTCTGATAAAAAACTATTCAAATATACCCACAGTACCTAATTTGTGTTCAGGGACAGATAAAATTGTAAATATTGAAAGACTTCTTTACACTTCCAGTAACTTACTGTGAGTTCATTGATACAGACAGCAGCTACAGGACCAGAGTGACCCCTTAACTGTCGGACAAACTGTAACCGACTCAGATCCCAGATAATACAGGTCTTATCCCTGGACCCACTGACAACCATGTTATAGCCCTGGCACGAGGCCAAACAGGTGACCGCCTCTATGTGTCCATACAGAGGCTGCTTCAGGGTCAGGCGCTTCTGTCTACTCTCCCACACATTGACCACCTACAAATTTGGGCAGAAAATTCACAATCAAAACATTTTGTACCATGTTGGAATCAAATGTTCTCAATTTTTCAGAATATCTTTTTAAAATGATGATGGCTTTCACCATACAGATGTGAACCTCAACAGATAATAAACATTTGACTACAGAAAAGCTAATTAAAATCACATAATTGTCAGTACAAAATACACTGTATATCCTGAACATACTTCTCATGAATTCTTTCATGAATGTTGCAAAAAGTATGTGTATAATATGTTTTAACTTTTATAGATGTATATTCATTTTAAGAGTGAGTATAAAATGACGTCTTACACAGCTAGTTCCCCCTGTGATATAAGTTCTAGCACTGGGACAAGTGGCACACAGAATTTCTCCATTGTCCAGACATTCAAAAACTTGGGAAACCTGAAGAAAAGAGAACCATTAATAGGCATCATCTGAGTCATCCAAATATAAAGCTGCATAATTAAATTGTTCAACGTATTACATTAAGAGTTTATTTTCTAACTATAAAACCTGTTGTAAATTTTTCTAATGATTTTATCGACATGGTAATAATAATAATAGGAGGGGGGATAAAATCTCACTGAACAACCTTTTCCGAGTCACCTGTACCTTTTCAGAATCATATGTCCCAATGCGAACACTGCGGTCCGAGAATCCCCAGGATAGGTATTTCTGGTACGTGTTTGGAATGATAACTTTGTTTTGTTCTACCGCCATGACAACTCGATCTGTGACGAGGATTTGTCCCACAGCAGACTTTACTTCTGCAACAAAAAGATACCTCATATAATGGAACCTTTTATTCTTATTTCGTATAATTTTTTTAAATCAAAAATAATTTTCAATTAATTATAGATAATACATGACTCAGCAGTAAATCTCAATATAAACAAAATTCAAAATGTTAACATCATTTGTTAGTTTCAAGTGCAGTAAGTAATTAAGATGCATTTGATTAAGGTTAGCAAGAAAAAATGTAAAAATTGAAAATCAAAAAATAATCTTCAAAAATCTTACTCTGATAAACTAAACTTGTCTTACAGTAAGACAGGTGCCCTTTGCATTGTGTAATTTCAATGAGTGAATTTCATCAAGAAATAAAACAAACTGATTAAAAATAGCCCGAACATCAATAAATAAGTGCTACATGTACCATCAGTTGACTATAAGATTTCAAATGCAATTATCTGCCATTGTCTTTTAAAAAAGCATCTAACGTGTCAGATTTAGAGATTGTTGTCATACAGAAACAAGAGGCTGACAGGTCTTAAAGGTCACTTGAGTCTCAAACTTTAGGCAATTTTTTTCTGGAATCACCAGAGGTTTTCTTCATCTACTGTAAAATCACATATTTTTGTGGAGTCAGATTTTTCGTGGTTTGAGGAAATTATTTTGGTTCCAGGGGATTTGATTTCGTGGAAGTAGAATTGTTGATTAGTTATGCATGTCATATTTTACATTTCATGGTGGACATGAAATCGTGGGTCTCTTCACACATCGAAAACAACGAAAATTAACCCCACACAAAAATTTGTGATTTCACAATATTTGCTCATTTTGGAAAACTTGTGCCCTAATGATCACCTATCAATTTCTCAATTTACACTGCATAAGGATATTTCAATAACTGATCTTTAATTGTAGGAAGATATTGATAAATATCAATCCTTCATATAAAAAAAAAAAACAAAAAACAAAAAAAAACTGAAAAACTTGTATTAAGAATAATCTTGGGCAAGTTTGTTTGAATTATTGGAAAGTAAAATTAACACATACAGTAATGGATGATCATAGCCAAAGCTGATATGACTCAGGTGACCTAATAGTTATCTAGATGTAGAAAAAATCATGCATCAGCATATAAAAAATTGAATATCTTACTCATGTAAAGCATATGGTCTACAGGATTAAGAATCATTTGTTAGTGTAGTTTAGTTTGCAGTACCGGTATACAAACTCACAATTAATGTAGCAGAGAGAAACTAATTGAGCTATGAAGCTCATTTACCTAAATTGTTTCTCATGTAGCTCTCAATTCTTATAAATTATTAATTAAAACAAACTAATTACAAATATGTTCTGAACATTAAGGTTGGCCAACCATCTGATAAGAGAGATAACTCTCACTGAGATATAAGATAATTAGTTCTAGTTCTTTACAAAATTTTCAAGTTTAGGGAGGAGGGTAATTTCCAGAGATGTGCTGACATTGTTTGGAATTTAAATACAAATTATAAATTTCTGAAAAATCATGAGTGTTAAAGCAAAACTGTACATAAGTAAATAGATCGAGGGATGTGGTACCTTAATTTTCATGGCATAAGTTAATACAAATTCAAAATAATACAATGTACTACTGTGGAATCTTCAATGGATTTCATGGTTGAGCCTAACTAACAAGTTAATTAATATTCCCACAAATAATAACTTTGTTAATGTATCAGGTCATTGAATCTTCCTTATATTATTGCAAGTTGCCTATAAAATTATGCCCCAACTAACCAGTAAAATTTTTGATTACCCAAGAATATATCTCTCCCCCAACCCCGCATTTGAATGATTCCATGGTATACAATACCCTGCAACTATCAATACTAATTCTAAGCATCTGAAATGCTAAGTAATTGAGTGTTAGTACAATGTTAATTACATGAAAATTCTCACTTGATGTAGAAGCCTTATTCTTTTTATCAAATGGGAAGAAATTTACTTAAATTACATGTATAAGGAGGATATAACTAGTACTTTGACCAACAAAAACTATCATATGTATACCTTTAATAGCCTGCTTTGCTGGTCTCAGATTATCCACATTATGGAAAAACAATCTGTCTTGACTAGGAACAACACCCATGGGTAATGCCTCATTGAGCCGCAAAGCCAATTTCTTTTGGGGATGAGGTTTTTTAAACAGCTAAAACATAAAATATTCACTAGTTTTTATTTTAATCCACTTTTAACACAGTTAACATAATTTTATTAAATTCCTCAATATACAGCATTCATCTGAGCTTTTATTTAATTTCTTTGTATGAACAGATATTTTAATTTTTTTAACATACATGTATGCTCGAAAAGAAGTTCTCAATTTGCACACTACAAAATGTGCTTAACAGCTAGTACTTAAACATGTCTATAATACTTTTTTTAAGAAACCTTTTGAACATAAAATTATCAAGTCACCTGTTTTGGAATCTGGCCAAAATTGTTGATGAATCCAATGGTGGCGTTTTTCTTGAGTGGGTCATCTATGCTGTAGATATCTACGTTTCCCTCGTAAAACAGGTGATGGAAGACATTGACGGCCTCCACAGCTGCTGGCCCTTGCTGTTTGTATCCAAATATCAGATCTATCCACTCGTGAAGATGGGCACTCACAAAGTCACTTTCTAGAGCCTAGAACAATATGAAAACAACAGGGTCATTGTCTGGCCTATTTAAAACTTTGATATAACAGTGAAAACTGTCTATTCCAATACCTGTACAATCCATTTCACTGTCAATTTCTATCCTAACTTTTTCAATTCCAATTTTTACTGTTTTAATGTTCTTTTCATTGTGCAACTGGACATACATCTTGTCTATTCTGACACAAATTTGTCTTGCATGTTAAATTAGACAGGTTTCACTGCATTTGAAAGAAAAGCTGTTCTATTCAACATTGTCTTTTACAAATACATATACATCAACTGTTTGTTAATTAAAATAAATGAATCAGCAAATGGTAACCATCTCCCATTTCTGACTGACCTCTCTGTGTGCCCTGATGAACTCCCTGGGATCATCTTTGGCCCAAGGAGGAAGTACTACATCATGTAATGCCACACCACTCTGTTTGACCCCTACATTAAAAAAATAATTAGGAAAGATAACCTAAATGAAGTTTTCATAATAAAGTCATCATTTGTTTACTTTAACATAATTTATACTCATAAACAAAAATAAATCTTGTTAATTAAGATTGCAGAATCCAGCTATATCAACATATTGAGGGGTAAAAACTCATACCTAAATCAAAATTATTGGAGTTTTTCAGGAATTCTGGCAGGTAAAAGAACTCTGGGATAAGTTCCTTGACATCAGCCATATTGTTCTTGGCAGCAGAGTACCAGTTTTCTCGTACACTGTGAAACATTCTATCAGCAAGATCAAAATGTCCTCCCTGTATACAAATAATAATAACAAGACAGCTGATCACAAAAGGTTTCACATCCAGTCAGAGGCACAAAACATGGGGGCAATGGGAATTAATGCTGCATACACATTAAGAATAGAAGAATATGAGACTTGTCAATAATTCACAATCTTGGATTCTTTTCAATCTAGCATTTATTACCTGAAGGGACAGGAAGTGCTGAGTAAAAGGTTCCATTCTGACTAGATAAGAAGCTACAATCATGGCTGATGAGTAATGGGTGCCATAATGGTAGGGTGGAGTCTCCCCTGAAGCATAATACAAACTCATCAAGCAATAATCCACCAAGTAAAATCAAGGACTACATATTGTGCAAAAAGCTATATAAGCTAGATATCCCCTGGTAATAAAATATATCAGATATCAGCCAAATCTAGGAGATTTTATCCTCGATTTCCTTTTTTATCATACCTTGAGGATCATCCCAGTCCTGATAACGTTTTTTAAATTGTTGTAGTCTTCCAGGTGTTTGAGCCCCCATAGGTTTACTAAGGTCCCTAAAAGTCTTTTCATCATACAGATCTAATTCCTCAGAATCATAATCAGCAACAATCCATGGAAACACTGGATACTGCATCAGATCATTGTAAGACCGCCCAGCCAAAGTGTTCAGGTGCATCAGGTACTGGAAGTTGTTAATTTCTCCTCGCTACAACATATACATGAACATGTACATGACTGCTAATCCAAAGCAATATTACATTTACTGACTTTTGCCTGATATAATGACTAACCACAGTAAAATGGGTTTTATATTCCACTGAAATCTTTTAATGAGGCTAAACCTTTTTAAAACAAAATTTGTCTTACCTCCCACCTTTGTGTGACAGACTTTTCTCCCATTAGAGAACTTATAATACCAGATCTGTAAAAGGTCACACAAACACTTAAACAATATAGCAAGTCATTCAAACATGGCAAAACAAAGCAATGGAATGAATCATTAAATCTCATTCTCAAAGTCTGATTCATACATATGCAATTCTTTATAAATGCACAACAAAAACAAACCCCGCTTCTATTTTGGCCCCCTGTTTTTGCCCTGACACTGACTGCAGGGCACTATCTGTCATTGCTGTGGCAACAGACATGAACCTGAAAAAATCAATGTTAACTTCAGCACTACACAGTAGAAGGGAAGAAAGCTTGACTTTTTTTAGCTAGTGTATATTCTTAATTTTTCTTTTAATCACAGCAATTCTTACTTTGCAAACACTTTGTTTCTCAATTTTCTTGGGAAGGATAGTAGATAATTCCTCCCATCTGCAGAGAAAACTTCCACAGCTATTGGTTGAAGCAAGTACCGTCTCTTGTGGACTTCACGAATATCCTCATATGCAAACTTACTGCATCTGTATGAAGATTTAAAAGTGTTCTTATAATCTTAAATACAAATCATTTCAAGAGATAGAAATAAGAATTCAATCCATTTTTGTACAGTATACTATACATACAAGCGTTTCTGAGTTCCACTTCCTTTAGATGCTTTTGGAATGATTGGGTCATGTAAACTATCAGATAGAAAATAACCACAAATATTATATCAGCTTAACTAAGCATACAGAACTTAAAATTTGACAAACTTATGATTCTTGCACCAAAAACAATAGAAACAATATGTACCCAAACTCTGTTTGGGGAACATAATAAACACTAAATACATACACTGGACATTAATGCTAAGAATACTCGTATTCTGTTGCTCCCTGCGAGAATTCAACATTCTGTTTAACATGAAATAGGAATTACAAGGTCACACTTACTCGGGAGGCAGGCTGTCGATATCCCGAATCTCTCGAGTCCTCAGCATAGTGAATCCATCAATCACATAAAAATGTTCCCTTCCAAACAACAACAGACCTTCAGCCGTGTCCAGTCCTTGTATCCTCGCACACCGAAATATATTTGTTATCTACAAAGGAATCCTGAAGAACTATAATCCACGTAAATACATTTACATATAAATGAATAACTGCAGATAAATTATTAAAATAAGAAGTCCATTACCTTTTCCCCCTCCCCTAATATTCGGAGTATGGTTTGGTTATTGTCCGTTTTGGTCCCTGAGGACTCCGTGGGCCCCTCCCTGCCCTCCTCTCCTCGTATCTCCTCCCCCTGGTTTTCTTTCTCCATCTCCGTCAGATTCTCCACACATGACGGATCCTCCGATTCCTCATCCACATCCACCTGTCTCTGCTTAGGGGGACGTCCAAGGAGCTTTGTCATTCTTGTTATATCTGAAACTATTCAATATGGAGATTTTTCTAAAATTTACACGTACTGAACTGTATATCTTTGCTGAGAAAAAGGAGCCTTGATTTTGAATTCATGGCAAAAGAACTTCTCATAAGAATCTACTAATTGATCAAATGTTGAAGTACTTGTTTCAGAAACTTAAGTTACCATCTGGTATCTTCTCGTCCACACTTTCTGTTTCACTGGTGTCCTCCACTCCTCTCATAATGGGGAGAACGTCAGGTTCTACCAGGGTCTGGGAACGGAATCTCTCAAAGTACTCCTTACTGTCATGGCTCATGGCAATTTTGTACTTCAGAGGCTGTGTTACAAAACAGAAGAATCAATAACACTTCTTATACATGTACATCCCAAATTCTGTTATAATACCATCTAATGTAGAAGTACAAGTAAGTGTACAATTCATGTATACATGTATTATTATACATATACAGGGTGTCCCAAAACATATGTTACACTTTCAAATTGTTATAAAAATCTTATGCCTCAAATTACATCAATGAAATTTAAAATATATAATAAAATTGTTATGTTTTTTTTGTCAAGCAAACAAGTGTCACAGTTTCTTCATTAGTCATCAACATTTTTCCTTCAGAATAACATATATCATTTTACAACATGTTCCAAATGACGTCCCTTTGAATTAATATTGTTTGAAAATGATTTCTGAAGTTTTTTTTATCAAGCTTAAATGTAGCATTCTAACAGTTTAGAGGTTTTCCCACATTAAAATTTGGTTTCACCAAACAACTGATTTTAAGATTCTCTTTACCAACATAGTGAAAATGGAATTAGGCTTCATCAGAAAACCATGCATCTCTTAAATTCTCAGAGTTGGATCAAAGTAAAATCCAATGGGCAATCTCTAGATGACTTCTAATTTCTGCCCTTTTCAAATGCTGCATTACACTTATCTTGTAAGAAATCGACCAAAAATCAAATTTTAGTATTTTATGAACACTAGCTTTAGATTTACCAAAGGTCTATCTTGTTCATGCAGGACCCTTCTAAGGGATTTTTTTGTACAGTTTCACTAATACCTCTATCAATGGTATTAATTTTCTCTTTGATACGGGCACTCCTTGGTCTTCTAATACCCGAATTAAATCATGTGTCATTTATGGTAGCTTGGAATTCAAAATACCTCACAAGTCTGTAAATAAGCATTCTTTTGTGCGCTTTCATTACTGGATGTAGTTTTCTTATTGTTCTTATGACTAATGTAGCAGGTTTAGACCCATAGTAAAGTTTGACCATTTCTACCAGTTGTTCACCTAAAGGTTCCCTAAGGCATATCAAAATATGATGACGTCATTAGGACATCATAATTACCTCACTCCTCATCAGAATTTCTCAAATGTTGGTCAGATTAAATGTATGTTAATACACTTCATGTTGACAAAATATCTTTGAGAATTCTTTTGGTTTCATAAAGTTATAGATGATTAAAAGTGTAACATATGTTGGACACCCTGTACATGTACATGTATCTTCAATTGTTGTACTTACACTGTTCTCCATATCTGGCCTATACGGGTAGTGGGCATAAAACCAATCATTTGGAATCATCTTTTTCAACATGCGGCTTGGACCTGAAAAATAAAGTTTTTCCTCATTCTTATACATGTAAGAGAGACGAAAGTTGGGTAATGAATTGAATAAATCTTTTTCTATATATACATGTAAATTCAAAATCCACTGAAGAGCCGAATGGCGAAAGCGCTTTGGAATAAAATGTGATCATCTTTTCCAAACTCTGGATTATTTTTCTATACATGTAAATTTATATGTTTTTTTATTGCTCTAAAAACTGTACCCTCTGTCATGTCCAGCATCCACTTCCTGAGCCTTGACCCCACTGTCGGGCCCCAGAGGCCCCTCTCCCTCAGTAGATCCACCTCCCTCTGTGTCCACTCCTCCAGAAGGTAGCGCTCCATGTGCTCCTGGGCCTAAAACACATTCAGATTAAGAGTGCCCCATTCACAGATACACCATTGCATCCTTTAGTTAAATCATGTGTCTCAAAGTCCAAAATCAATTCTGAATGTCTAAAAATACTACATGGTACCCCACACAAGGATTATTTTGGGATTCAAACCAGACACCTAAACCTGTTTCCACTGAGAAGTGACACTCCACTACCAGGCATTTAAAGAACTAAAATTTATTCAGTAAAACTTAACTTAAAGAATCAGAATAAATACCTTGAGATACTGCTGATACTGTAGCTCCACAAGATCTTTCACAATAGAAATGTGGGACAGAGTCCAAGATATGAAATCCTACAAATAAAAAAAAATACATGTCACATACACATGAATATGCATTTTTTTAACATTTATACAATGGATTAGACATGTTAAAAATAATAGGTTGATTATTTTTTTTTAAATGAGACACTTACTGTCATGTGGACATTAGAACATGGGGACACTTTCAAAGGCATCTCTTTCTTCCCTTTTCTTGTGGCCAATCTCAGAACACCACTGCCCACTTTCTGAAGAGTCTGAAATGAGTTATTAAGATAATAATTCGCAAGCTGTTATAAAGTTTTGCAGAATATCAAATAAAATGGTAAGAGAAAATACTGTAAAATCTTTTTATTCCTGGGGATCAGTTTTCATGGACACACAAAATTTCACTGATTTTGTGGGGTGTAATTTAGTGTGTAACTTGAATAAACACAAAATTCAACAGACCTACTGTGTGTAAATGTGTAAAAATGGTGACCCCCAAAATCCATGAACATTGGTCCCCCAAGAACAATGATAACTCCATAGTATGGATGAAGTTAGTAATATACAACAGCATGTAAGACCCACTACTCACCGACTGTATCTGAGTGGGAAGCCTCTCGGCATATGTAGCATGACATTTTCTTTCACTCTCTGCATATGTCACCCACACCTTAGAGGCATACTCTTGTATCAAACCTCTAGAAAAGGTAAGACAATTATTTCGTTTAAAAGGGTAACTGTTAATTATTGACTATTTTTAGATCACAATACCAGTATAGAATACTATATAAAGCCTACCTGACACTGTTTATATCCGGGGAGGATACAGAGGTAGAATGGGTCGTGTCAATGTTATTCAGCTGTGTTTTAAAGATCTCTTCCAAAGCCTGAAAACAAATAGGCAAAACAAACATATATTAAACATGAATATGTACATATACTGTAAAATCACATATTTTCGTGGGGTCAAATTTTCGAGTTTTGAGAAAAAAATATTGGTTTGTGGGGATTTGATTTCAAGGTTTGAGAAGTGTGGAGTAATAATGCATATGAAATTTTACATTTTGAGGTGGTCATGAATTTGTGGGTCTTTCTCTACCTCGAAAACAACGAAAATTAAACCCCAGGAAAATTAGTGATTTCACAATACATGTAAACCGTCTCTCAATCTGGATACTTTTTTTAAGCATTTTAAATCTTGATGCATGTTATGATGTATGATCTTGCATTAGGTAGCACAATAATAAATAAATTCATGCCATCATTGTTAAATGATAAATGTTTTGAATAAATAAAGTAAACTCATATTTTGACAATGATGAAATGCATTGTGTCATACAGATAATGCACAGTGCATGAAAAATACAAATTTTGCTAAATTAAGACCAAAAAGTACAGTATGTAAACCGTCTTTCATGAAATCCTGGATTTTAAATTAAGACTACTAGAAGCCCCTAACCAGTAATAGAGCTGGTATATACTTACTGGTTTTTTACAGGCATATAGCTCCTCCCATACTCGCTTAGCAGCTTTTACCAAATTTTGATGACCTTCCATGACCCCTGATCCTTTCAGAAAATGGCTGAAATTGGCCTCCAGATCTCCATTTGCTTCCTCTTTGTCTATGTTTACATGCCAGGTAGTCCTTAAGGCCTTTCCTCCATGTAAATTTTCCATGCTAAAATAAAATAAAAAAAAAATTACTTTTTATTCATTTCAATTAAATCCCACTATTCCAATCCTTACTTTAAACTGTAAATCAAGCCATATTGCATAGAATTAATTGAAAATAGCTATAAAGCACTCCATTAAGACAGAGTTCTCAATTATTCATAAATGAGGCTGCTGAATGGCCCTTTTCCCAATTCCAATAAGGCACCTATTTCCCAACTGAATGAATAGTGCTATTTTCCCACTTGTCATTGGTAAGGATAAAGTTGAAAAACTAAAATTTCTTTTGATTTTCTATATATATTGATTTTCCCAACCTTTGCCAGAATTGCTCATTTCAAAATTTTTAATGGTCCAAACCCTTTAACAAAAGAAGATCAGAGAGCTTGCAAGAGAAAATCCACTCTATAGATAACTTGAAAACCTCAATATCCTACCCTTTCTCTGGATCATCCTCAGTCAGTTGAAGTAAGCAGTAACACAGACAGACTAGAAACTCAGGATCGTAGTTCTTAGGACCAAATATTAGTGTCCTGTTAGAGGTTAGCTTGTGTAGAGCATCTAATACTGTTAATTGTGCAGACACTATATTAATGGGCCGTGACAGCTGATACAGAATGGTCCTGTTTAGTGACTTGTAGATCAAATCCATAGACACACCTGAAGCTGCAAATCAAGTAGGAAGGATTTTTTTAAAATGGCTGTATTTAAAATCATCACAATGTGATTAATTACACAATTAAAAAAAATATAAAATTAATATAGCTCCAAAACAAACTTTAATAAATCAATCATGTACGCTAATGTTTAACATCATGCATCTTTGTACTCACATTTTCTTTTGGCTTGTGCAATAAGTTTGCTGATGAATTCAAAAACCTCCTTTGTTTCTCTTGTAAATACATCTACAATCATCAAATAACCAAATTATAAATAATATGAAGTAATGTGCCCTTCCATTTAAAATTCAAAATACCCAAAATAGAACATCAAAAAATTTCAATAAACAAAGATTTATACTTTGCCAGACTTTGTCCACCAGGCGACTGGCGAAGTAGAAGACATTGTTAGCCATGTTGGAGTAATTCCCTCCTGACATGAGTGGTAGAGCAGCCTGGTCTCCTAGCAACACGTCAGCAGCCAGGAGGTGCTCCATGATAACGGTCAGGATCTCCGTCTGATACTCACGTCTCTGGGACCGGGTGGCCGTCTCAGGGGAGGCCTACATAGGAATATTGAAATACACATTATTGATTGTATCTGTTTCTGTAGCCTATTGGCAGTCTCAGGAATTTCCTATATACATATACAGGGGGTAAGCATCAATTCTGAAATACACACATTTTTTTCTGTTTCTGTTGTCTTTTTGCAGTCACACAAGAAGCAAACATTCAAAGCTTAATGTACCATGTATATGTTACAGTATATTCTAACTTTTGAAGTCAAAGATATTTTTTAGTTCTTTGAATGATACTGTTGATTAGTGACCTATAAATTGAACTAAACCCTAAAGTTTACAGTGTTTACTGAATTCTATACAATTTTCTGTGACTCACGTCTAGTACAATGTCCAGTATGATGCCTGATTTGGAGGAGACTTGCTGGGAGAAGCTGTCCACTACAATGGTCCGCAGGAAGTCCACCACAAACTTACGGGCAGGGTGACTCGTTAAAAGACCTACTATTAAGAGAGCAAAATTTAAATTATAACAATGGAAGACTATTCATCTACTTATTACCTGTTCATACTTAATTTTTATTGTATAATAGCAATATTAGTTTATATTTTCAAAGCCATACAATGTGCTGACTCACTTGGTATTTCTTTTTCTGGAGTGCGGACTCTAACAAAGCCCTCTGTGTCTGGGAATGGCTGAATTAGAATAAAGCAGGTTTATAAATACTGATATTAATTCATTAATAATCATGCATACAGTTAGTCTGTAGGTATCTTTTTTAAAAAATAAATTAAGTACAAAAAAATATTTATTACAAAGCAGAAGTAATAATAGCACTGCATGTACAAATTATATGAATTCAGCATAGAATAATGGCAGTGTGCAAAATAATTACAGTTGAACTTCATTATCTTAATAACTATTATCGAAAACCAGGAATATGTTTATGTGATTAAGCAGTCCTCCGAACTTTTATTTGTTCTTTTTAAACCTGGTTCATTTTGAATCCTTGGATATGTCAAAGGGCTAGATCATGTACAGTTAATTCTCGATAAACCGCCACCTTTTGTAATTTAGAAATCATGGCGGTATAACGAATTTGGCGATGAATTGAATTTTCCATCTTTTAGGAAATAAGACATAGAGTTATCGTTCTTAGAAATACCATTTAGCGTTTCTTTTCTTATTATCACATGTACATGTATATATAAACATATTTCTATATTTGAAAATACTTCAAGTAATTTTTTTAATGTACAATTTTGCTAAAACAAAATATTCAGTTATGAAATTAAGACAAGTACATGTGTATGCATGTAAATCTGCACGTTTGATATTGAAAAAAAAAATGCTTGGTCGATCGTCGTGATATATTGCCTATAGTACGCAAAATAAGTTCTTGAATAAATTCATTATGAAATCATAGTTAATGAAACGTTCACAATTTCTGACTTATAATTATTTTTTAAGCAAACTTTGCATTGTTTTTAAAAGCAGAGATCATCAAAATATTTATCGTTATCGGCGTATACTTTGCAACGACCGCTTTCGTGGCGAAGTGTTGATTTATAAATGATTTTATTAAACAGAAAACAAAATTGTTCTAACAGTTCATGTTAAAATTATTGTTTAATTAATTTACTTAATTGCACCTTGACTGGCTTTGCATGCTTTACAACAGGGATAGCGTCAACCAATTAGCCGCGCTTCACTGACCACATGCACCTGTGGCGGTATTATCGAGATAATTAACACTTAAAAATGGACGTTTGTTGTGAAAACAGGGTGGCGGATGGCATGCGAATTTGGCGTTATAAAGAGAATTTTATATAGCAGGAAAAACGTTCTTGGGAAATCATGGCGGTATTGCGAAAATGGCGATGAATCGAATGGCGATAATTCGAGAATTGACTGTAATAAATGTACATGGACTTACTTTGAATTCTTCAGTTGGTGTAGTAACATCATGGTCCACAATGTTGTATGGGAACAGAGTGGCAGCTAGGCTGCTGATGAACTCTGGGGTAGATGCGAGGTGGATGAAGTCTGCCTGGTTGTGGTACAGAAACAAAAAGAACTGCATCAGCGTCACTGGGTACTCCTGTATCCACGCTCCACTCAATTCCTCCTGGTCCTGAATTGTTTGTATTTAAAAAATATATAACTTCTTAATTCTTTGACTTAGACAAACAGCAATGAAAATTCCAACAGACAAACAACACTATTAAACAAGTATGTGACCCACTAATCTGGGCTGTGTTCAAGATCATCATAGCAGCTGGCCTAGTTGTTACTTTAGATACCTAGGTCTTACTGAACACACTTTATGAATGAATGCTTGTTATGGCTAGGATATCATTCAAGATTGTAGCAGCTCAAATATAGAGCTAGTAGCCTTTATGAACTTGAACACTGCCCAAATCTGTGTGTAACCTACTGACCTGATTGAGCATGCTCCTGATCATGCTCAAAATGACAAAAGCTGCCTCAGGACAGAGGTCAGCATGCTTCTCCTTGGCAACTATGGAAACTGGTTTACTGGCTGGTACCCCAAATATCACAGTCCACACTTTGTCAATATTCAGCTGAAAAATACAAAACATTTATTGAAAAATACTTAACATTCACCAGATAATGTTTCTGCTATCACCTTATATCTCTGGAAAGTAGAAAATAATAAAAGTTTTTTTCTAAATTTAATACATGTATATGATGATATAAGTACTGTACCTCCACATCAGTTGGTAATTTGTTTACATGTTGACCTAGTAATAGTGCCATCATTAGGAAGTATACTTCTGGTATGTTACTGTGCTTGGGGAGTAGCCATTGTAATGCTGTGAATCCAGGCACCTTACAGACCTCCTGATTTAGCTCACGTTTCTGTCCAGTGTTCTTAGTACTTATGTTTAGACCTGAAAAACATGAACATTTCATTCAATCTCTTACTATAATATTCACAGACAAATATTTCTCCCAAACTGTTTAACGGGGTAGTCCTAAAGATTTGGAATAGCAAAGAACCTTACAGAAGTAGGAGAGGGTCTGGTGTTTCTTCCCAGTCTAGGGATAACATACGTCACTATAAGCTAAGCAAACCCGGTTTATGGATAAAGTATTTCACATCTGAAGAGGCTAACCTAACATGACTCCTACATGCTGCTTCAGAACTGGTTCTGTATTACTCAGCCAGCCCCCTCCTGGTGCCCCCTCTCGGAATTTCAACAGTGAAGCTGGATTCTGTAGAATCGTTAGGAGCACCCTGAGAGCAGTGATGACTGTGGTGTGATGAACATGTGGCTGAACAAAGAGAAGCAACCAATCAAAGCCAAGCACCTTCTGAATTTCCTCTGGTACTCTGAAAATAAAATATTCTGCGGTAAAATATGTGTAGTAAGAAACAAAACTGTGAATCCACAATGTTAAAGAACTCATAGGATATTATGCAAATTTAACAATTATTGTGCTGTCACATTTTTTTTGAATTTCCATTAATTTTTTTTCTTTTACGTGTTTATACACTGCAGATATGCAAACAAATAAACTTACACATTGCTTCCAGAAGATGGATCTTGTAATAACTCCAGTATAATTTCCAAACAATTGTTTCTCATTTTGATTTTGTACATAGATGAACCAATATCACCATCTGAAACATAAACATTGCAAATCCTTAGATGAACTTTTCATAAAATTAAGAGTTATCAGTTATACATGTATATATCTGTGTTGTGAAGCATTCAAACACATTTCATAAATTAATGAAAGGGAGTATGCAAAATACCATATATTTTTCTTGTATAGTTTAAAAGTTATGGACATAAATCAAGAAGTATAATAGTTAGAGGCAATTAAAAATCTGCAAATTAACATGCAGATTTGTAGGGGTACAAGGGGACATTACCAGCATCATCTGTAGGGCTGATCCCATTTATCACCACCTGCTTCTCTGAGGCCGACATGGAGGGAAGAGTAGACACAGTAAATTGTCCCAGTCTGTAAACAATGTTGTCAAAGTTAGTGGAAAAAAATCAAATGTACTGCATCTTTCTAAGGGTAAAAAATTGTAGTCAATAGCCTAAGGAAATTTTAATCAAACAAAATCAGCTACTGTACTTTCCTTGTCAAATTGACTTACTTTAGAAGTGCAATTTTAGCGATTTTGAAATGGTCACTGAAGCTATAACAGTGACATCATTTAATTTTTGGCAATAGAAATTTTTGATTGTGGCTGAGGTCAAAACTGATTGTCCTTCAAAATGTCTGCTTATATGGTATACCATCTTTTTAAGGTACACTATTGCATCAACTGGAAATTTTTACAAACAAAATGCTCTGTTCACTATACAAAAGAGAACATCATACAGTAGACAATTAAAAGAAATTATTATCACTAGAGATGGCTTTGATTGTGGCTACAGAATATTCAGTACCTACAGTAATTACAACTTGATAATTTACACAGCATGATGATCAACCAAAGAATGCATTATAAATAGAGAAATCTACAGGTTATATTTGTAATTCAATGAGGAATTTAGACCCTATGTTCCACCAGGAACCTAAAGGAACCATGATGAATGATGATGACTATGTAAAATTAAATTTTACTTCTTCATATTAATATGTGCATGTTTTTACAAAATTCACAGGAATAAATGCTCTTGTGTTTTTCAAAATAACTTTGTACCACTGAATTATCAGTTAAAGTTACCTGGAGTCAGTGAGAAGCTCAAAGAAGTGTTCATATAAAGACCTCTGGAGATCAAAGGGAGCATGATGCCACACCTGTAATACATATGGGAAATATAAATGATAAGTATTTTAACATCATCACAATTTCCAAGAGTAGGAAGTGGATTTAAGATTAACTTTCTTTACAAATATTACCTCTAGTTCGCACAGTAAGTCCTGGAAAGCTTTCTTGTTGGGGATGACAGAGCTTTCCCTGCCACTGTCTACAGTCCCAATCAATGAGAACGTCAGGTGTAAAATGTGACTGTTTAAAAGATTCTGTTTCTTCTTGTACAGCATGGACAACAGCTAAAATATAAGTAAAAGATTACATACACATAAATTTAACTCTCTGTCATGAAAAAGTTAAATACATCTTTTTATAAGCATTTCAGAAAGTTACATGTTTACTCTTTCTGAAACACCATTGATATCTATTGAACGAAATGAAACATAATAGTATCCATTCTTTATACCTGATAGCCACTTATCCTTTCCATGTCCTTCAAGATGGATTTGTTGCTCTTGACAACACAAACTAATGCCTTAACTGCAGCATACAACTCCTCTACATCAGATGCCATGGCAACCAACCCTAACAAAGCTGAAGCACCTCCAATGTTCTCTAGCATTTTGGCAACGGGACGTGGACAGAAAGTTCGAACACCTGTGGAAACAGAAAAATGTCAATGAGAATGCTGAGTACACTTCAAGTAACATTTCATGGCAAAGGCATATACAGTGCACATGTATACGAAGAGAAAATTTGTGTGGTACAAGACAGCATTATCTATAAACTTAATGAATTATGAGCATTTTATGTTATGTTTACCAAGGTATCCTATGAGTATTGCACCAAGACTCCTGGCTGGTCCATTCAGATGACCTGCAGAGTTGTGGATGATCCTAATAGGTGTAGCATTGTCATGGGCAGACATAGCCAACTGTAAAGCAATGGAATATGGTTCAATATACCTTATCAATAAGTAAAAGGTTTCCCAATGATTTTTAAAGTACATGTATTCATGAAATAAAAGCATATAACAAATTCCTCTTACAAGGAAGCAAAACCGTCCATCATTGGTGATTCATTACAAGCATATTTTACTGTATCTAACAATACCACTGATCATTCAAAAGAATTTTCTACCATGTTTTAACAATAAAAGCGTTATTTTCATATACCGTACATTAACGATTTTAATTTTCAACAACAGCACACTGACCTGTCTTGCTATGGACTTGCTGTCTACTTTGCTGTAGTTTTTCCTGATTAGCAGAATAGTCATTTGGGACACAGCATGTGCATGAACACCAAATACTAGCTTCTCTTCTGCCACAAGAGCACCTGACATCTCTACATCATCTGCAAGAGATTAAATTGATAAAGACTTGATTCAGGAATGTATCAGATAGTGATGAACTACTGTAAACCAAATTTTACTGGTATGCAAGAAACAAATGTGAGTTTCCCAACCTTTTCTTACTCTTATACAAATATACTTTGACCATTCATATAATGTTACCGCAGTCCCAAAAACAAATAAAGGTGGTTGGATTTCACACAAAGAATAGAAAATAAAATCGACACAATCTTACCTAGGCATGTGGACTGAAAACTTCCCACATAAGTAGGTCCTAGTTTGTATATACAGCTGATCACAGAACCAGATATAATGTCCTCCATTAGATGACAGGGGCCCTGTCTCCACGTCAGACGAGAGTTCCGTCGTAGCTGGGGAGGGCTGCCAATATAGGCGTACACTGATGTAAAGGCTGTAGGACTCGCTGTACCCCCTCCACCAAGATTGGGAGAAATGTAATGCAGCTAGGAAAAAAACATGTAGACTACTCACTACAGAAAGAAAAGACCAAAACCTGAACCTAAATGTACTACAAAAGTTTCTATTCAAACATGAAATGAATGAAATGATAATCATATTCCTAGTTGTTATCTAGCTTAATTTCTACAAAAAGAAAATTAAGTTCTCCATCTAAAGTGCATGAAAACACCTTTCATATGATATAATAAACAGTGCATCAATCTACCATCTTGTTCTATGGAAATGTAACACAGTTTTGCTTCCCACAGAGCTCCAGGCAACTTCTATGCTTTTAATGTAGTTTTCAAACAGAATACTCAAACAAAAAAAAAGTAAAAAATAGAACTGACATACAGACACAATACAACAAACATATCACTGCCTGCACAAACCAGAGCATTAATATTAATAATTCCCATTTTTCAATTCCATCACTTTTCCATTGTACGTGTTAACAGCAAGTTTAAAAGTTTTTCTTAATGGAAAGAGTTCAAAACATTAAAAATAATATACCTTTTGAGTACTAACTAACTCAGCATCCACATACAGGCTGACACTGCTGTTTTTCATTATTCCTGCCCTGTGGAAAATTAACACCAGGTGGTGCCACTGTCCTTCCTGTGTCAGCTCAGGGCACCAGAATCTCACACAATTGTCATTCAATACAGGCTCAGGTTCATGTTCCAGACCAGTCACTGTGTGTATCAATAAGAAGACATTTGAGTACAATACTTTTTTAGTAAAAGTTAAATTTGAATATTAATTTAATTAATCTAATTACATTATCTCTGTTGGATGGATGTACATGCATGGTTAGCGTGAACACTAACTGAGGGTATAATTTGTGGAAGAACATTATTACCTGAGCTTGGTAGATGAGTTTCTTGAGTTGAAACAATAAGAGACCTTTCTCTAGAGGACAGGGTGACAGACAGACAGACAAGGTTCTCGTCTCGTCCTTGCAGATTTCGGACAACGGTCAGCAGACGCACTGGATGAGCATCAGCAATCACACTGAACTTGTCCACACAGAACCAGGTGGAGAAAGTCATACCCGCCTGTGGTGGAAATATCCGCTCCCCTGCAAAACAATGGCAGCATCATCTAATGACAAACATTAACATGTAATTATTCATATATAATTTTATTAAAATATTTATATGGACATGCTTCTTTCCAGTTCAGTGGGAAAAAAGCACTGTTTTCTCTATTCATATCCCTACTCATGTGACTGATTAAGCAGCCATGAACATAGAATTTAACAAAATAGAACAAATTAAAAAATCAGATTTACTTAAGTTAGATTCAATTTTGAAATACCTGTTCCTATCCCTCCAATGACAGTGGAATCCACCCCCACCACACCACTGACCACAGAGGGGGTGGGTGGACCCTGAGGGGCAATACTGGGAAGGTACAGGCAGCCAAATCCCTCTGTTGTCATATCAAACTCCACAAAAGCCGGAGTCACAGCAGAACCATTGATCCTGGCATCCTTAGGTGTTGTCATGGAGACCAGACATTTTACACGAGTCAGGGGAACAGCTTCCCCGGCTGATTTCAGTTTGTTCTCCACTTGTATTGGTGTCCTACGCTCGTCAATACTTGATGCTCGACTGACTGGCCAGTTCTGACTCCAAGAGTTCTCCATCATCTTGGGACTATCAAACATTTCATCCACCGATCGACAATTCAAAGGTGATCCAAGTCGCAAAAAATCTCTATTATAGCAAAATCAAACACTTAATAACCGTCAATTATTATCTATGCACAATAAATTTACTGTTAATTCAATGGGAAGAAAATCAAAAGCTTAAGAGCATTTCACTACATGGGAGCATGTCATTGTTAATGTTAAACATGAAATTTTTTTTTGAAAATCGAAAATTTAAATTCTAGTAAGACAAGCATATTTTCATAAGTCTTTAGGCAAAAAGTAAATCAAACAAAAGAAAATACAATTAGTAATCAGTAACTGGTAAACAACCTGAGATCCCTGGGTGTCAATGCCTGAGCTGCCAGTCTTTCAAACATGGCTCTGAATGGAGGGTGTAGGGGGTGAGAATCATCTGCTAGAGCCACATAACCCAGGGTCAGGAGCTGGTGGGGCATCCCCGCATCACACATGATCTGCTGGTTCCTCTCTGTGTACAGGACTCCCTTCAGCAACTCAGCTATATAGCTCTGTAGGCCTAATGATGTCTGCAAGAAAAAGAAAATTCAAAATATATTCGGGTACATGTATAAATCTCAGGTAACAAATTACACATGGTCATTGATTAAAACTAAACATATCCAAATGTTAAAAAACTAACATCCCATAACATTAGCAACTACATGTATATTAATCCGTAATGTCTTTTGAATATTTTTATTCATAGCATAACCTCTTCTCAGAATGAATGCATGTAGAATTGCAATAAACTGGAAGTAACATTGCTTTGTGGGTATTTATCAAATATAAGTATAACTCACTGTTAACTGTCCTTCAAACTCTACAGATGGCAACAAATGCAGAATAGAAATGACAGCCCCTGGGTGTACCACAATAAGGTCACACTGTATGTTTACAGAGAAGGTGATACTCCCGGTGCTTGCTCGTTTGGGGGAGGCCGTATGAGATTTCTCCTCCTCCTGTACCATAGTCAGTCTCTTTAGAGCAGGTGAGTCTGTCTGCACTTGAAGACAAGCTGAGGGTCTAGATAAAAAAATGGAAAATCATTAGAAAAGTTGCAAGTTTCAAGAAACTAAAATTTAAGGGGAAAATAAAACCTGTAGACTCTAGATATGGTAAGATTGCTCCAACCTGTCAAATGTATCCAGTACCATGTTGTACAAGAACTTGATCATGATGGCAGCAGACTGTAACAGGACTGGGGTTTTATCTTCAATCCTAAAGAAAACATAGGTAATTAGAGATTACAGAGCTCACCTCAACGAATGTTGTCTTTAAGTAAGGCAAAGTCACACAATTAAGCAACAAAAAGTGTACATTCCAAAAATAAAAATATTTAAGCAATTCTGATACTTTGAAATAAACCTATAAAACCTATATAAAAAATTTAAACTAGTTCTTCTTCATGAAAATGTAATTAAAATCCAGCATCGGATGCAAATTTGAGAGTTTTCATCCCTTGATGCCTCATTTGTGCAAGTTTGGCATATACATTGCTATATAAGCCTTATAGTTTTATGGTAATAGACCTGCAGCAATAACTTTTACCTGGTCCATTATCTGAAATATGTATGTCGAATTCGGCATCCGAAGCAAGTCCACTAGTGTGCATCCTAAGATGTATCATCCATGCAAGATTGCTCATTATAGGGCTCATAGTTAATTGGAAATGAAACCTGCATCAAAAACTAACATTTTCACTCATCCACAAAATGTAGGTCAGATTCAGCATCCGAAGCAAGCCTGGTAGTATGCATCCTTAGATGTATCATCCATGCAAGTTTGGTCATTAAAGAACTTATAGTTACTTGGAAATGAATCATGCACCAAAAACTTTAACCTGTTCACTCAACCAGAAAATGTAGGTCAGATTCAGCATCCGAAGCTAGCCTGGTAGTATGCATCCTTCAATGTATCATGATCCATGCAAGTTTGGTCGACATAGGGCTCATAATCACTTTGAAATGAAACCTGCACCAAAATCTTTAACCTGTTTACTCAACCAGAAAATGTAGGTCAGATTCAGCATCCAAAGCAAGCCTGGTAGTATGCATCCTTATATGTATCATCCATGCAAGTTTGGTCATTAAAGAACTCATAGTTACTTGGAAATGAAACCTGCACCAAAAACTTTAACCTGTTCACTCAACCAGAAAATGTAGGTCAGATTCAGCATCCAAAGCAAGCCTGGTAGTATGCATCCTTAGATATATCATCCATGCAAGTTTGGACAACATAGGGCTTATAGTTACTTGGAAATGAAACCTGCACCAAAAACTTTAACCTGTTCACTCAACCGGAAAATGTAGGTCAGATTCAGCATCCGAAGCAAGCCTAGTAGTATGCATCCTTAGATGTATCATCCATGCAAGTTTGGTCAACATATGGCTTATAGTTCCATGGAAATAAGACCTACACCAAACACTGCTCCAAAAATGTTTACCTGCACCAAAAACATTAACCTGGTCATTCCTTTGCTGAAATTGCAGCATCTGAAACTTTGACTGGTATAATGAAACACACTAGAAGCATCCTCCATGCATGTCTAATCAATATAGGACATAGAAGTACTTAAAAAGAAAACTGCTCCAAAAAACTTAACCTTAACCTGGGACGCCGACACCGACGGTATTACATAAGCTCCCCCAACTTCGTTGAGGTGAGCTAAAAAGTCAAACTGTTAGTTCACCATTATTAAAACCAGAAGTCTCTGTCGAGACTGAAGCTCTACTGGTTTGAACTTATAGCAAAGGAAGAGAAGAGTACTTAAGCAGCTGGGATTTGAAACTTTACAACAGCAATATATAGAATAATGATCGTTGATAAAGTCTCTTTATGTTCTTAGTGTAGTCTACTTGTGTGCCAAGTTATATTGAAATCAGACCAAAACTGTAGGAGGAGTAGCATTTTGAAACAATTTTACAGACATTTCAATTTTTAGTAACCACAGCAACACAGTTCATCAAAATTAAAATTTGATACACAAAATTATGCATCTTAGTGTATTCTACTTGTGTGCCAAGTTATATTGAAATCAGACCAAAACTGTAGGAGGAGTAGCATTTTGAAACAATTTTACAGATATTTCTATTTTTAGTAACCACGGCAACACCGTTCATCTAAATCAAAAACCGATATATAGATTTATGTATCTTAGTGTATTCTACTTGTGTGCCAAATTATACTGATATCAGACCAAAACTGTAGGAGGAGTAGCATTTTGAAAGAATTTCACAGAAATTTCTATTTTTAGTAACCACGGCAACACCGCTCATCGAAATCAAAAACCGATACAAAGAATTATGTATCTTAGTGTAGTCTACTTGTGTGCCAAGTTATACTGAAATCAGACCAAAACTGTAAGAGGAGTAGCATTTTGAAAGAATTTCACAGAAATTTCTATATTTAGTAACCACGGCAACACCGTTCATCGAAATCAAAAACCAATACACAGAATTATGTATCTTAGTGTATTCTACTTGTGTGCCAAGTTATACTGAAATCAGACCAAAACTGTAGGAGGAGTAGCATTTTGAAAGAATTTCACAGAAATTTCTATTTTTAGTAACCATGGCAACACCGTTCATCGAAATCAAAAACCGATACACAGAATTATGTATCTTAGTGCAGTCTACTTGTGTGCCAAGTTATATTGAAATTAGACCAAAACTGTAGGAGGAGTAGCATTTTGAAAAATTGTTTACAGACAGACAGACAGACGGACAGACAGACAGACGGACAGACGGACGGACGCCGGACGCATTACTATCGCATAAGCTCTTCTGGTCTCTGACCAGTAGAGCTAAAAACCAAACTAATAAACAAACAAACAAAAAAATGGGAGTAATTTCCAAGACAGAAACACAGCAGCTGATACATTTTCAGTTTCTTGATTCAGTTTTTATTAAGTCCAAAAATGTTATACCAAGGTTGTTAGATTCATAGCCTTCAGTCAGTTATCTGTCAATTTATTAAAGTTCACTTGATATGAAAAAAAAATCTGTCTAAAGCCTCACTGAGTTTAATCAATATACCGGTAAATATCAAATGTAGTCATCAAATATTAGTTTAAACCACATTTTATTTGAAGTTGACAAGCAGTAAATACAGGCATGTAGTACAGAAAATAAAAAATTACAGACCTTTTGAGCAGCATTCTTTTCATTGAGTTTAGAAAATTTATTAAGATATAATGGGTCCGTAATTTCTGATAAGATTTACCTATTTCTCTCATATTCAGTCAAAGATATTGTTTTCTTTCAAGCAATTTTTGTAAAATATTTATTTTCAGTCATGCTCTTCATTAGTGCAATGTAAACTAGTGCTAATTGTAACGGGGACCGTTACAGATGTTCCCCAAACGCTCCCAACTCCTTTTGGTGCCATATTCCCTATAAGCTTCATTAAAATAAGACAAACTCTATGCATTTGAGACTTTAACAACGTTTACCCAGAAGTGTACCAATTTCATTCAAATTTTAGCATTGCACGCATGCGCATGTGAATGAACGTGCGTAATGACCATATAATCTTGTCTTCACAATTTATAGATTTTAATATACCAAATATCAAAGTATTTAATCCAAAAGTATTAAAAAATACGCTAATTCAAGTGTATTTTTTATTTTACTCATTTCATGTGCACGCACGTGCTCACATGAGCATGTCGACCATACTTTCTTGTAGAAGTCCATTACATCTATCTATGTTCTAATTCCCACCCCGTTTGGTTTAAAACCAAGGGAGTTATAGCTGTTCAAAGTTTCAGCCAATCAGATTGCAGTGCTTGTACATGCACGTGTATGCATGTGCATGGTGACCATATCTTCTTGTAGAAGTTCATTATATCTATCCATGTTCCAAATCCTGTCCTGTTTGGTTGAAAATCAAGGGAGTTATAGCTATTTAAAGCATAAGCCAATCAGATTGCAGCGCACGTGCATGCACGTGTTTTCATGATAATTGTTATATATCCTATTGTAGGATATCCTAATACATGCCTATGTTTAAAATTTCAAAGGATTTCGTCAAAAAAACAAGAAAGATATTGAGACTTTAGTTTCAGCCAATCAGAGCGAAGCGCACGTGCATGCGCGTGAGATCTCGCTATTTTGACCATGTCACCATGTCTGTACTACTAATATATCCTCACATTATCAGTTTCAAAGCATTTCATAAAAAAGTAGAAAAATAACGGCAATATCTATCATATTGGTCATTTCACGTGTTGCACGTGAGCGCTCTTGCAAGCACGTGCGCGCAAAATGACCTTGACTAGGCAATTCTACATTACATGTCTACTGACCCTAAAAAGGTTTTACCTACATCGGATGAACAGTTTACAAGATCATTCCCGGACAAAAAAGTACCCAGGAAGAAGAAGAAAAATAATAATAATAAGAAACAGAGTAAAAACAATATGTTCCCCAACTTCGTTTGGGGAACATAATTACTACTGTATTTCAGAAATAAATGCATGATGAAGATCTGCTTACTGATTATCCTGATTTTTCCAGAAGAAATCCTCCCACACAGCTCTGCTTTGATCCACCTCTGTATTTAATGATTCCTCTTTACTTTTGACCTCATCATCTGGGGTGCTGGTATCAAAGAGAGGCTGAACATCTACAGCCTCAGAAAAACATCCCAGCAGTCGCACCGCTTCAGTTAGACTGTCATATTGCACCTAATGACAAGAAATTAATGCAATATAGAGCAAATCGCAAAATACCTAAAGGATTACATTGTTTGTGACGAGCTGACGCTTTGCTTGTCGAGAACTTTAAATTCTACGTCACATTCTCGCCACATCAAAGGACGTAACCGAGATCGCGTCTCTCCCACACTAAAGTCGGTCAGCTGCAATACACATTGCCGACGTTTAACGGGTTTACAAAAGGGGACAGAAAACACAAATCTTTTTAAACAGTTTGAAAAGAGCATTATTTATATTATATGCATTTTTTAGAGTCCATAATAAATTAAAGCCGTGAAAATTTAATTTTATAGCATTTACCATTTGTGTATATGGCACGGTATACATGCGATATAAAATGATGTACATGATCAATTTAATTTAATTGTTTCAAATCACTAGTACTGTTGATGTGAAATGATTTTTCTGTGGAAAAGAGAAATATTCCATTTATGTATCAAACCATGAAATTGAGACTTGAGAACTTAGTATACATAGATTTTTTTTTACATGTATACCCCAAACAGCCGTATTATACCAGTATAATATGTACTTGTACTTTAAGTATCCATATATAAAAGAACATTTCTGTTAAGAAGAGAAGTATGCCTATTCACAATTGTCAATAATTATGTCAAAATACTAAATTAGAACGGGTGCATAGTTTTGCTTTAAAAAATACACACATGTATAATAGCTCTCTCTCTCCAGGAAACATTTCAGTGGCTGAATATACATGTATATGTATTTCAATCTATTGCATCAGTGATGTTTAAAATATGATCAGGTATTTTCGTTTATTTATCACTCAGTCTCTGATTTTTTAATTATCAGTAAGCACACATTAAATCCATTCTGATTGATCATATACGACACACATGCACTGCGGCAGAATTTTTAAATACTGTGCATTGTGTAGAAAAGTACTCAAAAGCACATTTTCGCAATCCTTTATAAAACTGAGATTTCTGTAAGAACATGTGAATACCCATAACAGGGAACCCATACTGAGCACTACGTACGCAGAGTTTTTGCAAACAGCAACATATCCTCCATATATGGGGGGGGTTAGAAAGGAAAAAACAGGTGCGATTTCAGCGACTGTGGGACAACTTTATCGAATGCTAAGACAACTTTTAATAATTATGCGACTCAATGAATATATATTTATATTGTACTAATGCAGTGGAACTACAAGAGGCCCATGGGCTACATCGCTTACCTGAGCACCGTGGCTAAGAAAATAGCAGAAATCAGCTCAATATTGAAAGTTTAAATCCATTAAATCCATAAGTGGTCCCAATCTACCTTTAAAGGGGATGGGAGTATATGTGAACAAACTTGAATCTACACTTCTTGAAATTTTCTCCCATAAGTTTCAACATTCTTGGCATTGAATTTCTTGAGAAGATTTTTAAAACATGTCATCAATTGCAAATTCTCACATTTTCTGAATTATCTCCTCTAAGAAGTCGCCCTTCATTTGAATAGACTTGAATACCGTTTACCAAAAAATGCCTTGTGGCAAGTTTGGTTAACATTGGCCCAGTGGTTCTAGAGAAGAACTCGAAAATGTGAAAAGTTTAAAGACGGATAAACAGATGTTGGGCAAAATGTGATCAGAAAAGGTCACTTGAGCTTTCAGCACAGGTGAGATAATAAAGACCAATTGATATTAACTTTGTTGTGTTACATACAGCACAGACAAGTAATTGGTGACAAAAGTGTAAGGGGGAGGGGGTATGCTCTCGTTTAAATCCGATTCGTTTTTCCCTTCAAATACGTTAGATCTGACAGGCACATAACATAAAGGCCAGCCCTCGACCCACCCTACTTTTTTTTCGTTTCAAACATATTGTTCGAAAGGTTCATTGAAAGGCTTTACGTTTTAATTAAGATACTTTACAACCGCTTAAGTAAACAGTTTCATGTTATTTTCGTACATGTATATACTAAAAATATCAATTCGTGAAAATTATTGTGCATTTATTTTTAATTTTTTTCGAGAACAGTCTATTTATTTTTCAAAATCTGCCAGACCCATCTCTAGGAATTAGATTTAGGCTTTTTGACATAGGCGTCGAAACCGGGCGAGCGGAGAGTGGGGGGGGGGGGGGGGGGACTTTTTCAAAGTTAGACTTAGTATAGACATTGAACATTGCTGCGTAGGTATACCCACGAAATAGGAGTTTTGTGTTTGGAAAATACACATCCCTTGTTTTTGTTTTTGTGTGTGTGTGTGTTGTTGTTTTTTGTTTTTTTTTGCTTCTCAGGTTTTTTTGGGAGGTCTAAAAAAAATTTCTTACCCTTAGCCCCCACTTTAATTTGCTTCTGACGCCCATGATAATTAGATATTTTCCGTCGTTTGGTATTAATTACCTTGTACATACAACATTCGTTAAAACTTAAAAATAAATTGAACTTCAATCATTAAAATTTGAAGGTAAATGGACACGTCTTCCCAGGCCTTCCCTCTTTATCTTTTCTCTCGAATATACGCATAAAGAGGGTATCCATTTTTCACCAGTATATTTTGTACCAAATTGCAACAATCTCAGCATGCATGACTTGGGTTGATACACGTAACTAATAAATCTAATGATCAACGAATCATGCACTACTCGACTTTTATACTTGTTCGCAAATATGAAAAAAAAGTAAATTTTGCGATAATAGAATAAAATAATCGACCAATTAAAATATTCGTAATGGACGGGAAAAAATCTTTACATTTTTAAATTCAAGGTTAAAAAAAACTTTAAACTTTGCAGGTAACATTCAAGAAAACGACATCGGGACTGTCTACTCCATTTTTTTGAACCCCGAAAACAAGCTGTATGTTGCAGCTGACCGACTTTAGCGTGGGAGAGACGCGATCTCAGTTACGTCCTTTGATGTGGCGAGAATGTGACGTAGTATTTAAAGTTCTCGACAAGCAAAGCGTCAGCTCGTCACAAACAATGTAATCCTTTAGGTATTTTGCGATTTGCTCTATTATTTCTTTTAAATGCAAACAATACTGAAATACTCAAAGTATTTCTTTCTTTTTAACTTGTACTTTTTAATCAAAGATACATTTGAATTTGAAAATCTGTATGAACCAACCTGTGTCTCGAAGAATTTGGCATTAGCTGGTTCATATCTCATGGCTACGGTAAGAGTGCTGAACACAGTTTTGAGTATACTTAAAACACTTGTTCTATCCACTGAAAAGAATGATCAGACATAGTCAATTATTCACAAAAGAGATAAAAATCATCTGAGTTTCTGTATTTTATATCTATCATTTAATGAACTGGCTATTTTCAACTGTCTTACACTGCTCCTTCTATAGCCATGAGGAGGGATAATTAGCAGTACCTTTACTCTGCTACACAAACCTGAATCCCAGGGGGCTTTGGGAGGGTCCAGTAGACATCCCTCCATGGACAGTAGGAGAGACATGACATACACAAATCCATTCACTTTTCTGAACACAGTTCTTGATCGGTGGCTCTCTCTTAGTACAGTCAGCAGGGCCTACAATTTGTATATTATTTAGAAAACTGTAGTTGTGAGTATTCAAGATAAGGATTTTGAACCTTAACCTGGTTGAAATTTCTTGAGGCAGCACATGGACCTCTAGTCTACCTTGATTACATGTCTACTATGATATGTTTACCTCTACCCTGTGCGAGTCATAAACCTTACCTTCATTGTGTTTTTTAAGCCTAACCTGATTATATAAACCTTGAACCTAGTTTGAGTATGCTAGCTCAATGTTTACCTTGAGTATATGAGTTTTGAGTTGTAGTGAGAGTACTGGGGAGGTGTGCATGAGTCCCAGCAGTGTGGCCATGTCGTCATCCCCCTGGGGGGACAGGATCAGCTGTTGTATAATACCGAGGGCCTGCTGCCGGCATTCCTCGTACTGTACCATTCCATGGACACAGCGCGCCCCTCCACACTCACGGAACACATCTAAAGTAAAGAGATTACAGCAGTATAATAAATAGATTAATTAAGGTCCACAGACCAAAAACCTTTACATTTGAACAACATGAAATCTTTTGCTACACAGATAGTTTTATGTTACATCTCCCTAAAGGACTTGGTCAAATTGTCATAAAGTTGTGCCTCTGCCTCTTCAAGTCATTTTTTTTCATGTTATTTATTTTATTTCATGTTTTTGACTAGTTTTAATGGTCTAATGGATCTTTAGAAAATAAAATTGTACACAGTTTACCTTGCACATAATACATTTATTATTGATATGTCAAACTTTATAGAAAATCCAATTCAGCCTCCAACTCAGAGGTGTTAAAAATATTGATGACCTAAATCTAACCATTAATTATTTCACGGTAAACATTTCTTTAAAAGGTTTCCCTGAAGAAGATGGTTAAATATTCTTACTGGCATTGCTTTGGTTGGATGAAAGAAGTAAGGTTAGACAATCCATGACTAAACAACCAACTTCCTTTTGTTCTTGTGAAATAGGCTCTTGAATTTGTCCTGAAATATGCACATGCATAATATCATGTGAAGAATTACTTTTATAAGTGGATTTTCTTTAAATCTGAAAAAAAATATCAAACTTTTCTTAAGTGTGGATTGAATTTATTTGTACCTTCTCCTGTTTCAAACAGAGCTGCATATCTACGTAGACAAGTGACCATGACCTCTAGCATTCCCACTTCCCGGAAAACGTCTTTGAACAATGAGTGAAACTGAAGAATTCGCTGGAGAGTCTTAAAACATAGGCCAGTACAAGAAGCTGATCTAGAAAAAAAAAATTACAATGAAAAAATTATTTCACCATGGACAACATTATTTTTAATTAAAATTGTGGACAACATGAAGATATAGGGATTGACACTTAACATTTACCACTATAAATTAAGGTTTCCTTCAATACAAGAAGTCTTAATTAAGTACAAAATGTTTATCAAGTTTCTTTCATTATAAAATACAAATGTATGCAAGCAAGATACATGTAAAAATTTTTAATTGCAAACTTACTGGTTAGATTTGATGAGAATGCTTATGCTTATCAACTCTTTGCATGGGACAAAATTCAGATCAAATATGACAAACTCCAACAATTCAAAAAACTTTTCCTGAAAATATAACCAAACAAATAAAATACATGTATAAGAATATGACATTTACTATTCAGACAAAAAATTGTGCGAGACCTAAAATTTTAAAGGAGAGAACTCAACGGCATGTACTTTTTTTTAAAAAGTCATCACTATAGTCTTTATTATATTTGTAATTTTCAATCCATAGAGACTTTTAGATTATTGTGTAATTGTTTGCCGAGTTACCTGTACGTCGCTTGGTTTTGTGTAGATTTTTTCAGAGAATTGTGACAGAGTGTGCTGAGGTTCCAGGATAAAGTAGTTTGCGTTGTCTTGGTGATAGATACTATTGATCACGTCCAGTATAACAGTGCACAGTACACTGCTATTGGCCTAAAAGAACAGAAAATACATGAAAACATTTGAACAATTATCAGTGTTCTGGAGAACATACATGTATGTGCTATTGTGCAGGCTGGCAGCTATTTATCCTACATTCTACCACGATTATTGAAAACTTCAAAGGAAACTGGCGGACATTATTCTCCAATAAATCACGAACGTCATCAAAAAATTATCAGATCAGAAACTCGTATCAACAATTCAAATGCATGTTTGGCTGTAGAATGAAATACTTGTTTAGACCACATTGATGTGTCGTCTTTTGCAGTATAAACATTGTAAATTGCATCAAGTTTCTGATGAATGTCGGTTTTTATAGCTGAGCGGGGCTATTCCACGGAACTCCCTACACATAAAGTAAGGTGATTTTAGCAGTGAAACAGGAACATGATTTTGTTATTGTATATTCATTCTTACTGACCAATACATATTATGAACAAATTTGTAATCTAAAAAGGCTATTTTTAATGTAACGAAAGCTCAAAACGTCTGCATTCTATACACAGGTAAGCAAACAAATTTTACCTCTGGTGTTAAATGGAACAGCGAAATCGAGACATGGTGACCTATTTCGTTTCTCTATAGAGGAATCAATCAGCCGTATTTATCGATCTTGGTAGAATAAAAATGACGTCCGCGTTTTCGTGAATGCTGCAGAATAACCTCCGAGGTTGAGAAATGTTGTTTGAAATATAAAAGCCTCGGCTAACGCCTCAGCTTTTATCTTTCAAACAACATTTCTCAACCTCGGAGGTTATTCTGCAGCATTCACGAAAACGCGGACTTTATTTATTGTTCAACTTCTGGTAGGACCAGATTATGACGAAAACACAATAACTGTTTGTTTTTTCTCTGTATAGTGTAAATTACTTTTAAAGTAAAGCCAAGACTGATGAAAAAAAGGATGACAACCTCAAATGTTAAACTCACTAAATAAATATAGCTACCGGTATATACTAAGTCAATTGATACAATTACCGGTATGTAGAATAATTTTCTTACAATGTGATCAACTTTGTAAACTATACCTTAAGAAAGACTGACTGTAATACTTGAAATGCCTGGATGTTTCTGACACTCACACCTAAAATAAATTAATTGTTGTATTACATGTAATAGAGATGAACTATCTTTATTTGATTTAGAACTCATAAACACTTGCATGCAAACAAAAAAGACAAACATGTACAATTTTTATCCCCACATCCTTTATACCAGCAAATCATTTCAAGCATTTTTTGTACCACCAATACCAAACTTTACAGTTCAATACAAACAAATGTATAAGTTATCATGCTACATGTATAACTACGTTTTAAAATATGACCTTTGACCTTCTCCTCCTACTCTTCTTCATGTTTTAAATAATCACAAATCTTCGAGATGTACATGTAAATTGAATTAAAGTATTTCATACCAAGTAACACATAATTATAGATTTTATAACACAAATTTAAAGAAAAATTCTTTCCCCAATCAGATCATGAAGAACATGAACATAACCTTTGCTGTAAGCATATTCCATTGGGAGTTCAAGCAGGTAACTGAAAGTTCTGCATATTGGATGATGTGAAATTACATACATGTTTATTCTTAGAAGACTGGCAAAGATGACATACTATAACATGGTAATTTTCTAAACCTCTGGTTATAATACGTAAAAGCAAGGACTGCTGCTAACGCTTACAATGTACACCATGCAGTTATCTACATTTACTAGCAACCCTGGCACCAAAATACTTAAAAAACTTAAACTCAACTGGAACTAGGGCTTGCATTTACTTGTATTTCTGAAGAAAATATAAACACATAAAACAGATATATTGAGTACAAAATCAAGCTATCACTCTAATTGGAGAAAATATCAAACATATGTACACAAACCTGAATACATGTCAACACAAATTAAAGGTGTGAAATCTCAATGAATAATTTGGGGCTTGAAAGAAGTCTATAATATACCGCGTAGCAGTAATAAAAAAATCTTATTTCCTATATAACTTGTAATACAAGTTTTGATTGGTTAATTGGTTGGGTGTAACTTTCTGTACACCTTTGATTGAACCTGGATAACTAACAGAAAGGGGCACTGAAATAAAAAAAAAAGTTTTTTCCTTACATTATTAACAACCACATATGTTTAGTGTATTTCATTAATGACAGTGTACCTTTGCCCGCTGGTTGTGGGACAGAGAAACCTGGCATTTTGAAGAGTGATCCTGAGCAGGCCTGACTTGGTTTGATTTCAGAGTGGCCTGAGGTGGTCAGTGTCCCCATTAAGAGGACCAGGTTCCTCAGGGCCTGCTGGGATTCCTCCCCATCATCCTTCTCTAACCTATATACCAGGACAGAAAAACATGTCGAAAATTTCTCCTGTTCTCACCAATTCAAGAACATCAGACACGTTTTATCGAGTCTGAATTTTCAAATATGGCATGTGTACTTCTTATTCATTAATTGGTAAAACAAAATTCTCAATTTCAGCATTAGACAGAACTACTGTGCAATGTCAGAATGAAATGTAAATTTAAAATGTATACTCATCTTGTGATCTTACCTTAGTAAGAACTCTGATAGGAACACGTAACCTTGGCACGACCTGAAGTCATCCAATAGAATATGAGAGACTTCACTGGAATCCTTCAGGAAACAAAACACAGTCACAAACATGTCCACCAGTTCTAACGGCGATAACTCCTGTATTCTCTGCATGTTCTCTATGCAATGTCTCAGGCATCCCTTGTCTACAAAAGATAATATTGATCAGCTTTGCAGAAACATGAAAGTGATTTTTGTGATTTTTTATTGTGGTCATTCAATTTTTTTTTCACTTTTCATTTGAAAATATTTTGAATGACTTGTACTAAAAATGTTAACCCATGAATGCAATTTAATTTGACAGATATTACCATGAATGTATCTGACAACATTCTGTGTCAGTCCATGCCTGGAAAGCGTCATCAGAACTTCTGCGGCACACTTCCTCCAGATTGCATTATGGGGTGGACACCAGCTGGTGATAGCACTAAACAGCAGACTCAGGTCATCTCTTCGGGCCAGTTCCTCAGCTGGGGAGGTGTGTTTACACAAGTGTACCAAAATCTGAAAAAAAGGAAGAAAAAAGTGTTTGAATTAATGGACAAAACTTACGTCCTAGTTAAATGTTTCAATTTAATTCTCTATGCATACTCAAGCTTATAATCTAAGTGTATGTCAACTCAAAATGCAGTTATATTTTTATTTAACTATTCCAACAAATAGCTAATCATCATATTATTTTTTATAAAACACAGCATTCATACACTTTACACAACTAAAAGTGCAAAAGTCAAATATGAAAAGAAAACTATACCTGGACAAAAACTTTCTGCAACAATATCCTTCTTTCTTCAGCAGTGAATTCGGAGTTAGGATTACATTTGTCTGGTTCCTCTATTTCGGGCAGATCAAAGAAGAGGTACAGACACTTGACGAGAGTGGAGGGGAGGGATGCAGCAGTCATACAGTCAATCAGGGCCTGGTTCCCACAGGACAGAAGATTCAAGGCCGTCAATAACATCCAACCATTTCCTGTTGTCTCTGAGGAATCCATCTCCAGGAAAGTAACAATAGCACAACTGGCTGCCTCTAAATCATCATAAAATGGAAGATTCTTTTTAAATCCATAAAATATTTGGATCTCAAATTTGTCGAGGTTAAACTTAACTAAAATTATTAATCCTATGCAGTCTTATATGAATGCTGAAAAGTTAATGAATACTTGGACAAAATTTTATTCAAAAAACTTCTCAAATATTTGTACATCAAATTCAAAGGTTTCTCTACAATAATTTAAATTAAGTACTGCATAGACATGCATTACACTTTGCCACATACCTGTGCTTTGATTAGATGCTCTTCTTCGTATTTCTGTGACCATCAGTTTTGATAAATGACTACAGAATTGCAGAACATCACCAAACTTTTCTGTCATTTCACTGGAATGAACTTCACCAAATACCTAATATCCAAAAGTAAAAAAATTGACAGTTAAGAAACTCACACTGCCTTTGAAGTACTTCAATCCTTACTTCACTTGTGAAACAAATTTCTTTCAAAATAGTCTAATATTCATAGGAGTATATGTACATGCAAAGCACTGGTATAAATAGTATACTGTATGTGTACTTAAAATAGCGGGCTTCATCTTTTAGCTGCTTTGGCGCAGACAAGGATGTGCCAATTCATGAATACCACTAAGAATTTATTCATAAATAGAATATATGGCATGAACATGTGTTGCGCTAATTCGTGATTACGCCAACAACTCTATACCCATTGATTGCACTAAATTTTGAATACGCCAAATTATGTACATGTACAGTATTTTGCATTTTCTTTGCACACACAGATCTGGAAAACTCAAAATGAAAAAAAAAATGGGTCTGTGGCAAACCTTATCTACCAAATCTACACTCTATTATCAAAAGCTGTTTGTCTCGACACATTATGTTCTTTAATAAATCAGAAACCAGTAAGTAGTGCACAAAAACATCTTCCTATTTTACTAGCTATTTGTTTTCTATATCATGTATATTCTGTGAAGCCCCCATACTTTGACAAACAGAGGAATCATGTTATACAGCTTGTACTCCTGTTCCTCCTGTGTGGCTTTTCGTGTTGGGTGTCTGAATTCTGCAAACAACTTCCTGAGATGTGTCAGTCCCAGTACACGGTCTTTTTGGTCAGCAGAAGGGCGCATCCCAGACCCTATTTTCTTTATATAATTCATCTACAGAGTGAAAAAAGGAGATTTTTTTTTTATTTCTGTAGAAGTTAACAATACAATTCACTATATTTCAAAATACAGTGTAATTGCAAAGTAACCTGTTCTAAATATGGAATGAAAAATTCCCAGCTTTACAATAAATCTGCTAAACGATTACCTTCCAAATTTTAGTGTGGATACCAGTGCATCCTCATGATCTTGGTAATCACATGATAGCAAAGGGACATGTATGGTCTATGAATAAGAGAGAAAAAATATATTTAACTAAAGGTTTATTTTAAAGCAATATGAGCTGCATTTTTGAAAATATTATTTTGCTGTTAAAATGTGTTATTATGACAAATTTGTATGTAACTTAAACCTTTATCAATTAGACTAAAATAAAGCAGAAGAAAGACGTCCTATATACAATCCAATATACAACTTTTTATAAGAAAGACTTCCTAAAAACAATTCAATATACAACTTTTTATAAGAAATCTTTCTGGTACAGGACGACAATAATGTAATTTTGATTCAATCGAAGCTTATAAATAGTTCTTCCATTGCAAATATGACCAACAGAAGTTTATTAACGTTTTTTTTTCTGTCATAGAAATAATTATATACAATTTTGCAACAAACAATTCTGACACCAAAGTTGCAGCTCATATTGCTTTAAAAACCAAAAAAAAGTCAACCTGAGCAATTGCTATTTAAATTAATTGATGACATATTACTGTATATTTATTATCATTCAGGAATTAATATCCTGTCTATCAAAATATAATAGCTAAGAAGTATAGGAAAAGAAAGTTCTTAATATATCCTAAATCATTTCCTATTCATCTGTTAACTGATCATGTGAAGCATACACATCTTCACATTGACGAATATCACTGTAAAATCAGTCCCCAGATACCATAATGAATATTTCCTTTTAAAAAGTTAGAAATTAGAAAACTGAAGAGTAATTTTATACTTTGGCTTTTTTAAATCATGTGATCTAAATATCTAATTATGACCAATTAGTATTAATGAATATCTAAGCCCTTTAAGTACAAACTGATACAGTAAAAATTTACAAGTGGAGAGATATGTTAGACAGGTGAATTGATTCTTATTTACTTGTAAAATTAAATCATAACATGAATATTGAGAAATCTAAAAGAATTATACATTGGTTCACTCCCCACGACTTCATCTGCTTCAAGTCAGAAAATCAATAGAAGAGAATTATCATATTTGGTTTGCATAAACATTTTTTCATAACAAGATTAGCCTCGTCCTGCTGAAATTTTACGATTGATAGCACAAGCAGATTAAATCACTACCTCTAATACGCTAATTTCACATTTTCAATCAATTTTAATGTTCAGCAGACAGTTGTCTCCCAGTTCTGCCATTTCCAAGTATTTACTTCCGTGCATCTAATTTTCGGTTTCACAACAGATGGCGCTGTAACTTTCGATTTCGAGTATTGATAAGTCGTTCATAAAATGCTTCATCAAAGTGAAATAGATTAATTCTTTTTTTAATTGGTGTTGTAGCTTGAAATTATGCATGTATATACACAGAACGACCAAGGAAGAATGAATTTCTGATGTAAAGATAGTTTAACTTTTTCGGTCATTTTACCATTCAATGACCAACTAGGTTATAAAACAAAATAAAAGTTGCTTCAAAGTGATACAACTATTAAATTGTCTAATTCATCTTTTATGTCGAGAATACAATGGTCTTTAATTTATTGGACCCAAAACAAAAATGATCGTGTAAGAATTCATGGTCACGTTCAGTACAGTTCAATTTTATTTCGTGGGGAAAATAATTATGAAAATATAAATTGTTCGAGAAATTAAAACTTTGCCTATTAATTAATCTGACAATAAAAATCGAAAAATTGTCCAAATCACCTCCGCGTGTTTTATATTAATTTTTATATTAACCTTTTTCCCGCATTTTCGTTTAAATTAACTACTGTGATCATAATGTTAAAGATAAGCAAACCAGAGTTATTCCGCTTTTACTACTTTGTCGTTTAATGTCATTGCTTAATATCTGAGAATTAAAACATAAAATTTAAAAAATGTCTTTATTTAATTCTTTTTAAGCATTTGTGGGAATAACCGATAGTTTTAAACATGAGACCCATAGTTCATAACACTCACCTGAGTCAACTTGATACCGAAGAAGAGCCAGTTAGTCCAGACCCCCCCCCCCCAAAAAAAAATAAAAATCTCAGATTGTGGCCCCATATCTTACAGTCGAAAGAATTCATTATTAAATTAAACTTGAATCCATACATTTCTTACAGTCGAAAGAATTCATGATTGAATTAAACTTGAATCCATAAAATAGAGGGATGCTTGCCTTTAATATCAAAATAGCTTATTAAAATGCGCTTGATGTTCTGGAGAGAAGAGTTCGAACTTTCTCTATGAATTCATTCCAGTTTGAATCTGCATTACCTGTGGATATTGACATATTAAATTTATATGACGAGTACGTGTATAGCTGAAGAACTGCAGCGTTATGGTTTTATATATTAGTCTTTGACAATATTTATGGTTCTGCAGCGATGACGAGTAATGATCTTGCACCCTCTTTTTAAACATTTGATCCACTATTGTGGACAATTTGTGACCTAACCCTACCTCTGGGGCCTTGATTCTCTACACTGCACTACTTGAGGATGATTGTCATTAATATTTAATCATCACTGCTCTGCTGTTCTTCAAACATTTTTGTCTATACTGTATATACCAGTTAGTGTCTGCTCCCAAAGTGTGTGCCCCACCCTTTCCCTGGGACCATGAATTGACAAAACTTGAACCTTTGCTGCCTGTGGATGTTTTGATATTTATTAATTTTATCATGACTCTGCTGTTCCTGAGGAAAAGTATCTCTTTATGTAAAGAATCCATCCTATCCTGAAACAGAAATGTAACACACTGCCTTATATTATAGCAGAAATTGTATTATGTCAATTTATCATCTGAATTATCAATTTTTAAATTGTTATACATGTATGAAGTAAATACATCCTTTCATTATAAATTCATAACTTGTAAAAAATTCATTATAAAAATTTTATTGTGTTAAAACTTTTATTACGTGAAGTGAATGTTTCTTTACATCATTTCATTTCTTTAATATGTTCAAAATTGCATTTCATAAATTGTTTTTTTTTATAATGTAAACTTATCATACAAACAAAAATCCAACTGAGATTATATACACACATTATTACGTGATATGGATTTCATACAAATCTGAATTATCAAATTGTTATGTTGGTTAAAACTTTTAGTGTAAATTAAACAAATAAAATAATTTTAACTTGTTGGTTACAGTGTAAATTAAACAAATAAAATAAAATTGAGAAACGGTCTTCATTGCCTTTGATTAGATGGATATCAAACGCACATAATAAACGGCGGATCGTGAGAATATACCGGGTGCGGGGTGCTTGGATGTCTCCTGTCACGATTTCTACCCCCTATATATACGATACTCACAATAAGATATACAATATTTTATATTCATAATGAATCCTGTCCTATTCCTGTTGGTTGGAGTCGGTAAGTTTTAGTCCTTACATTTTTTTTATCAACCTTCATTAAATTATTTTCTTTTGCTTAAAAATAATAAATTAATATTCGTTATATTTATAGATATGATAAACCATTCTGTTAATATGAAACTGTCTTCAAGTGATTGCAAGTATCATTGAAAATTAAAATGTACATTTATAAACGATAAAATGATAAAAAAAAAAAATAAACAAACCAAACAACATTAAATTAATTTAGAAACAATCAAAATGTATTCAGATTGATTTTATACCATTATAATTATTTTAATATATACCATTATAATTATAGCCTTATGTGTCTTCGGAATTTTTTCCTTATGCTCAAAAGGCTACAATTGTTTTATTATTTTTTATTACTTAATAACAAATGTCTTAAAAATTTAGCATTAAATATTTCTCATTAATAAAAAGTTCTTTATTCATTTTGTTGATTTGAGAAAATGCAACAGAAAATAATCTAAAATATGATGGACCATTTTTACAATACTTTAAAAAAGAAGAAGTGATTAAACCGTCTCAAAAAATCAAGGTTCCTTGTGTTGTCGCTCCTGTGTTCTCCATACTTTGATCAGAGAGAGAGAGAGAGAGAGAGAGAGAGAGAGAGAGAGAGAGAGAGAGAGAGAGAGAGAGAGAGCATTAATATTAGTGTCCTTATAAAGTGTCCATATCAATATGCTAATATAGAATATTATAGTGATAAAAATCAAAATTCTAAAAGACGCCTCCTTTGGATACTTCGTTGCCAAACTCATTTTCAACAGTTACAGCGTTTTGTCATTTCTAAAGTACAGTTCAACAATATCATTACTGAGTTAAACATTCATTTTTGAAAAAAATATATATGACTAATTTGACGCTGATTGTATATTAGTACTCCACAGATATATTACGTTCAATGTATTCAGCCTCTAAGTTCTCTAAGTCATTCCAGTTGTGGAAATCCCGCGGGGTCTGGTTTTAAAACTAATTTTCAAACAGAACTAATTTTGAAACAGAAAAAAATATCAATGTCAGACAAAATTACTATCTGACACAGTCCTAGCGGCTGGTACACTGGCTAACCTGATGGTTCTAGGGGGTCTATAGCCTAGACAACGTGGAACAGTGGCGCAGAATCTAACTTCATATGTCAAGAATTCCCAATAGGCTGACATAGAAAAGAAAATGAAGAAAAGTACAAATGTAATATAAGAATTAAACTGAATTAATTTTATTGTTTCTCTTGGATTAAGTATGGTTCAACTCAGAAAAAAACACAGAAAATTAGTTGCTACAAATGCAATCGTTTAAAAAAAGTGAACACGCGCGGATATCAAATTTTCGAAAGAGGTACATGTATAATAAAATGCTTGCTTACTACAAGCAGTTCTGCTAAACACATTATAAATAGATGAGTAAAGAATTTACATTGATCATTTTCGAATTATTTATCAAGACAAAGTAGAAACTTGAAAAAGACAAATACTTTTTGTCAACATCGCTAAAATTTTGGAGTATTCCGACTTTATATCAAGTCTACAAAACAAAAATGATTAAAGTAATATTAATATACCTGTTTAATTCTTATCAAAAATTGTTTTCCTGTTGCAGCGGTATTGGAAGGGATATAGCAATGCGCTTGGGTGTGTTAGTTTGTGTGTGTGTGTGTGTGTATGTTTGGTTCTCCTTGTGCGAAACGGAAGTGACGTAATTGCATCGGGATCAATGTGAAATACTGTCTTGAATTATAGATCTATATATTGCTCTTTGCGAAGGTATGCTCCGCTTCGTCGTGCCTTTGTTTATTATTTTGTTATAGATCAAACTCTCTCCACATGCATCAGCATTTTGTGTTTATAGACATGTTAAGACCAAATTTAGAGATCCATTTAACAAAGTTTTAGTGTACCATTACTCCTTAATATAATGACGTACTTCTTTGCTTATTGAAGCTTACGGTCTACCCAGACATTTCCAGAGCCGCATTGTCAATGGTGTGGATTCTGGGCGGGGCGATTGGCCATGGCAGGCATCCCTCCACTATGAGACCAGCCGGGGGTCGTTCTCCCACATTTGTGGAGGATCACTCATAGACACCAACTGGGTTCTCACTGCTGCCCACTGCGTGGAATTCGAGTAAGTTGAAAATATTCAAAAGTGGACATTCGAAGTTATCTTTTAAAGGTTAATCATTTCTTAAATAAAACACATACAAAGATGCTTAAATTTAATAATTTTCCAATAGAAATCTAATATTTAATTCAAATTCACACAATTTAGCTTCACTTTCGATAAAACTTTTACATAAACGGCTTAATATATACATGTAAAAAGAGTCATCTGTGAACTGGATTGGCAATCATGATGTAATGTTATAATTCGTTAATATTTTTTTCAGCAATAATGTGAACAAATTCCGTGTTGTTCTTGGAGAACATATTCAAAGCGAAGACCATGGCTCCGAACAGACCATCAACATCGCAGAAATCATCATGGTAGTACATCTCCTGTTACATTTTTTTTCCGAACCCAATATAAAAGTGCAGCAAAATCAATTAAACTAATTGAAATTCAAAAAAAAATCTTACATTAAAAACTACATTACACATAAAGCTAAAAATATTTAGTCTTATAAGAATTCAATTTGAATTCTTTTATTTGTCTTGTAGCACGAACAATACAACGGAGCCGGAAGTGGAATACCTAACGACATCGCCCTTCTCCGTCTCGAGGATTCCGCTGACACAAGTCGACCGGAAATCGGACTCGTGGCTCTGCCCAGTTCCGCCAATCAAGAATTTTCCACCCGGGACACGTGCTACATCAGTGGCTGGGGAAAGACTAGTGGTAAGTATTATAAAAT